ACTATCAAAGAATATACGCATTTAAAATTTTTAAATTGGATTCAAAATGTCAATGCTTATTTTCGTATTTTCACTCAAATTTAAATAACCAAACCTTAAATTCTTCAAGAAATTATTATAATTATTTGTATCAATAATGAATCTCTTTTTTTATTTGTGGTAAAATTTTAGAATCTTCTCCTAAAGAATAAATATTGAGGAATTTATAAATCTATATTCAACGATAGGATAATAAAGAGAAAATTTATACAGTTTCAATTTTTTCCTCTTTGTATACTTTTCCCTCTTCATATTTAAACTTCTTCATAAGACATAGCAATTCTGAGATTAGGCCAGCAAATATTATCTTTTTAATTGTATGATAAATAAAAATATGACGAGAGAATGGTAAATTAAACTTCAAAAATAACAGTAATAATCGACATTAACATATTTTACATGTAAATTAAATTTCCTTTCATGAACATTTTTTGATTTCATCACCTCATAACCGAGTGATATTTTTTTTAGAACTCAAATCTTCCGATTTTATTTTTTATTTTTATCATCAAACTGTAAAGCCTTCTATTTTTGATCAATTTTTTTTGATGAATAATCTGCCTTAGGCGATTGCCCAACAGATATCGTTTGGTAAGCCAAAATGATTTCAAGGAATATTTGGTATTTAAAAATCAATACTTCAACAGCGTGTAAAATCAACAATGTATTCGACCATTGTCAATGTTTAACTTTTAGTAGAAAATATAGTATTTCAAGTATTGCAAATATTGAAAGCTAGACAAAAAAATGAACTAAAGTAAATTAATGATATAACACATTTACAAATTCAAAGATATTTTTATTCTTTTTTTCTTTTTTTATTATTAATTTTTTCTAACCCATTAATGTTGATAAGGAAGATATAATTGTGCTATAAAAATTACGAATTAATTTTAATTATAAATATAAAATCGATATTTATAAAAATAACAACTAGTTTATCAACAGCGTATTGGATTGAAGTTGACTATTTGAACGCTGTAGTAGCGCTGTTGAACTACTGACTGGACGGCTGATCAGGTGCGGACTGTGTGTCTATACTACTTGATAAAATTCATTACATTAACATATTATTTAAAAAATACTTTCAAAACTTTAATAACTACTCAATCATTTGTGACATTTAGAAACTTTTCTTTCTCCAACGAAAAACGTGAAATTTTATTATCATATTCTGTAAATACACTTGGAAATCATTCCCAACATTGTTTCCCCAAGTCCAACGATATTGACTAATTGAGGGTGGTTTTCTGGTTCGATATTACTGAAATAATATTTAGTCATTGTATCGTAGAAAATAAGTTCAATTTTTATATTTCATTAAATATTGTAGAGTAGAATTATTGTAAAAATTAGATTTATTTTTATTTTTATAGATGTTTATTATTTCACATAATTGAACAAAAAACTAGAAACTATTTATTTCTAAATAACAAAAAGATAAGCTGATCTTAAGTATCAAATAATTATTAGAAAATGATTGATGATAGTGATGGAATGGAATTTAGTTTGTGAGTTATTTCAAGAGCAAAAAAAAATAGGAGAGTTAACTATAAATAAATTGATCTTGCAGTATTTAACTAGTAGTAACACTAATAACAAACACTTCTTTTTGTATTTCTCTATACTTTCAAATATACAATACATATTGAATACATATAGTTTAGCACTCGTAAATTTAATAGCTAAAGTCCTTCGCTGACCGACTATCATTCTTCTCATCAACGTGTAGAATGCGCAATCGCCGGTTTTTCAATGTACCAAGTACCGTTTTTCAGCCTCCTTTACTCTGCCAACATTCACTCCCGACAGAAAAGATGTTCCAAATTCAGTTCACCTTCGATTTCTCCTAGTTAGAACCTCTTCTCTTTTTCATTTTTATGTGAAACCTGTTTTTCATTCAATTATCATTCAATTGTCTGCTAAACAGAAATATGTAATAAGTCAATTTTTTTTTTGAAGTCATCAAAAATGCACCGATTAAATAAATAACAGGGTTATTTAAATTTTCAAACGACCTTTCAATTCATTCGAGTAAAGCTTATATAATATACAAAATTAAAGACTCTACGCACGTGTAACGTTTATTCTTACTCCTTTTTTTTTTCTTTGTCGATTCTTATTAATTCGCACAATGAACCCAACTTATATCATTTTGATTTTCTTTTAATCATTTTGATGATGATTTTTAATCGAGTTTATAATTTAAATGTCCTCGACCATGGCAACCCCCTACTACACACCTTTGTCAAGGTTAAACACACTTGGACACATCTTGTAGCTCCAATCATTCTCCAGCTAGAATCTAACTTTTAATAACCATCAGCTAAAAAAAATTTATTTAATATTGATGAATAGTTTGATATCATTCATAGATATATAAATAAACAAATGAGGAGAAAGTTGATCGGAAATAGACGGAAAACCTTGAAGATTCACTGTTTCAAAGTATTAATAAATATTGGAGAATGTATGTAGATGTAATTCTTTTCTAGAGATCATTCAGGTATACAGCTTTAAGTAACACTTAGTATTTCTTTCTAGATGTTTTTTTACTTTCTTTCTAGATGCTGGAGTATATAGAGTTATCTTGTCACTTGTAGACGTGCATTTAGTCACGATCACCACTTTATCTTTCTTTTTTTTTTTTTCAAAAAAGCAAATGCTACAAAGGCCACAAATATTTCATAAATTTTTTTTATAAATTAGTTTACACATTTTTCATTATTATCTCACGTTTGTGATTTAAAATAAATTTTAAATACCCGAGAGAATTACATACAGTTGTAATCTAAATTATATTACAGTGTGACCATGTGGACTAATTGGTACATACTCTATTATATTTAACAATAAATTTTTTTCAATTGTCTGAGACTTATTGTTCATTTTGTACAAAATTATGAATTAGCTGTAATTTAATTAGTAATTATTTAATATTAAAATGTGTTGGCAATTTTTTTTAAAAATTGAAATTAAATATACCTTTAAGTTGTTATTCATTGATAGAGGAGGATTTAAAAATAAAATAAATTCTTACTCATCGGTTATCATGTACGCCATTGTATTTAGTTGATTAGGTGTAAATTTATACATAAGGAAACGTCAAAAAGTTAATAAAAAAAAGACAATATCTTATGTTTTTACACAGTAGGAAAAAGAGTAGTAGCTGTTTACTTTACGTAACGTTGAAGTCCGTAAATTATCCACTCGTTATACGATAAATAATTTGTATATAAAATAAGGTGATAACAAAATATAATATATATAAATTAAAAGTAGTGTCAACCTATTGTATTTACAACTCAAAACAAAATTCATTAAATATTTAATTATTTATTGATGATTCACAATTGTTTTTAATTAAATGGGAAACAAAACGAGAACTTTGGACGAATGTTTCAATTTCGTAAATGGGAACTTCCGTTATTGTAAAATATTTCAAGCTTAAGACAATAGCTGTTACTTGGCGATTAACGGATATATTTCAGCAATGATCATTAACACAAATTGATAATCAAAATACATTTATGTGATTGCAGTGAATATTTATTAATTAATTGCTCAAGAGGTCATTTATGTAGAACTAACGATTGTATAGGGAATTTTTAAGAAAAACTGTTAAAGGTTTCCATTTTTGATTTAATTTTGTATAATACTCTTGAGAATATTTCGCAAATAGTACCATGAATACAGACATACTAAATATTCAAATGTAGCTCGTGAAATTTATTATTATTATTATTAGTTGTCTAATAATATTTAATATCAATCGAATAATTATGAGCCTTAAGATTTCCACATAATTTTTAAGAGTGCCTGGGTGAAATAAGAATATGGTTACGACATAAGCAGTTAACATTGGCGAATACCGGTGTCGTCATGACAGGTTTGGCCCTCGAGATGGTAACATAGCTATTTGTCTATTAGTACTCGAATCAATTAGAAACATCCTTTGAGGGTTTGAGAATCACAAGGTCAAGGTGTTGACGCACAACCAATGTTCTCACTTTTTCCTTTTAACTCTTCAAGTCTCAGAATATAGATTTTCGACTACATTTATTTTATGTTATTCAGATTAATTTGAGTCAGCACAAATTTACAAAAAAAAAAAAACAAAAATACTTTAAATTCAATTTAAAATACGTTTACTATTTTTTCATTTTAATCTATTGAATTTGTTTTTTTTCAATAATTTTTAATAATTTGTATGCAAAAAAAGTATGCTAACTCTTGTAATTGCGTATAAATAATCAGTCTAGGAATTGAAGAACATAACTCATTTACAAAAATTATGAATAGTAAAGGATTTTTTAACTAATTTGTATTTAAGCAATACGCATACGTGAAATCATGCAAATATGAACAAATGTATAAAATACATTAGTAAAGAGTAGCAAATAAAAAAAAAAAAAACCAATTTTGAATTCTGAATAGATAAATAATTTCAAAATTTATAAAAATTTTTTTTCAATATTAATAATAATTGCGATTTGTTTTTAAAATTTATAAAATGGAAAAAAAATTTTTTTTTGTAAGTATGATAAAGATAAAAATAGTTGATAGAATTATAATAATTTAATTGAAAATGTATACTAATTAAAAAATCTAGTAGAGTTAGTTGCCCAAATGAACTATCATATAATGAATAAGTAATAAGTTGAAAATGTTTTAAGCTCGAAATTTGTGAGAATCATCTAAGGAATGTGGTTATATCTACCTCTGGAAAAAAAATATTCTTTTTCGAACATAAGTAATATGAAGGTGTATAAAAGTTGGTGGGGGCAATAGTTTTGTTAATGCTGTTTTACGGGGGACAGTGTGACTTCCATAAGTGGGACATACGCTCTTACATCCCTGTATTTCGTTCGAAACTCGCGATCAAGCTAGATCATCATCGTTCACTCGGTATTCAGTGTTCTTATAAATATATTGATTCATTTAATCATCTGATAAATCAATTACTATTTTGAGGATTTTTTTCGTCGCTTCCTTCAAAGCGAACGAATTTTTCGTAAGTTAATATTATTTTTATTTTTAAACTGATATTTTTAAAATTATTTTCCATACTTACATACTACAATGCTAATTGTTATCAAATAATATAGTACTCAAAATCACAATTCAATATACTGTCAATTACATTTAACATTACTTTAACAAAAGAATAAAATAATAATATTGAATATTATTTTTCTTGTGTTTGTATAACTTCATTGTAACGTGAAAAATCCATGAATTCATTCTTAGTGTATTACTTTTTCATTCGACATACTTTTTCACACATATCAGAAATTTGTAATTACTCAGCTTTACGTAGAAAATATTTTTTACTTTTTTTAAACTCGTTCTAGTCATTTGCATGAATTATTTACTTTTGAGATCATTTTTTTTCATTAACACAAATATGTAAAATCAATGACATAAAATAATTTAATGAAAATTATTTAAATAAAAAAGAAAAGGAAACCTATTAAAAAAAAAGTATTTGCTTAGTGTCATGTTACATTTCAATAATTATATATTCAAAAATTCGAAGTTGACCATTAATACAAAGAACCGGTTTTTTTTCAATTATTTTGACGACGATGTATACGAATAATATTCTAACGAATATCTACGACGTATTTTTATGGCGAGCTAAGTGTTGAAGTAATATAACTTGCAATTGTTATCGCAGAAAATTGACGTACCAGTAAAATGATATCTCCATATACGGCAAAAATAAAAATTAGATAATTATTTGTGTAATTGAAAAATGAATGCAAAAATTATTTATCTTTAATTATTTCAATGTCATGACTATTTTTTCAACGATAAGAAAATGAAGAAGAAAGTTTGGAAAAGTTAAAAATGCATGTCTGAGTAATCTTACGTATAAGATTTGATAGAAATTATATGAAGATTGACCTGAAAAACGCCATTGACCTCGATCTTCACTGAGAGAACCCGTTTACGTCTCTTTTCTTCTCTTCCTCATTTCACTTCCCACTCCACTCATCTCGTTCTCGATAACGGCAAGTCCCGTTTATGCCATTGATGTTTCTTTATTTTTTTATCAATTTTTACCTGAACAATTCATTCGCATTCATTTCTCTTGCAATAATTATTCACTTATACCACTTTTTTCCTCCTAGTATGATAAAAATATTCTAAAATACTTAGTTATATTCTATCAGATCGATTCCAAGTGTTTATTTAAATAACCAATTAATTGATGATTATATTGACCCCTTATTTTAATTCAAGTCACTTTTAGTCAAGACAGACTACTGCGAGTTTATAATTATTGAAATTCTAAATTAGAATAGTAAATTTGTTGTCAAAATGTCAACTTTTGTTGTGACGTAGTGTATGGTAATATTAGTTTGGAAAACAATTCATCATTGTTACATCATTATTTATCCTTCATAATATAATATAATTTTATTAACATTTATTATGAATATATTTAAAATAATGAGTATAATAATAAATTAATTTATTTAATTTCAGATTAATTATGGCGCCGAATCTTTTTGGTAATTCGGCGACTCTTTTCTTGGAAGCTTCGCAAAATGTAGCTCAGGAAAAACCTAGTGAGGAAGTTAAGAGCACAGTCCAAAATGTTGCTAGTGAAGGAGTAATAAATAAAAATAAATATAAGTGGAATATTGTGTGGAGAAATGTGATTGCCTTTATTTATCTTCACGTTGGATCTGTCTATGCTTTATATTTATTATTAACAGGAGCTAAAATATTAACTACCTTATGGAGTAAGTTTTTTTATTTACTATTTTTATGTAGATACAACAATTAACTAAACATTTTTCTTTGACAGTTCTTGCACTAGGATTTTTTGCTGGAGTTGGAATCACAGCTGGAGCACATAGACTATGGGCTCATCGATCATACAAAGCTAAATGGCCCATGAGGTTTTTACTTATGATTCTTCAAACTGTTGCGTTTCAGGTAATTTTTGAATTTTTTGCAAGTCAATGAACTCAATTGCTTCAAAGTCAACAACATATATACATTCATTCTATAAAATTTTAACAGAATCATATCTATGAATGGGTGAGAGATCATCGAGTTCATCATAAATTCACAGACACAGATGCTGATCCTCACAATGCTAAAAGAGGCTTTTTCTTTTCTCATATCGGTTGGCTCCTTGTTCGTAAACATCCAGATGTTATAAAGAAAGGCAAAACTGTGGATATGAGTGATCTTGAACAGGATTTCGTTGTTGTTTGGCAAAGGAGGTAAATAATCAAATAATTAATCTGACATTACTGTCAAATATTATGCAATTTATATAAATGATTTCTAAAAAAAAATTTTTCCAGGCTGTATTTAATTTTGATGCCAATTTTTTGCTTCTTAATACCAACTTGGATACCCATCTATTTTTGGAACGAGAAACCATTATATGCTTGGTATGCAACGGTATTCAGATACACTCTATCACTTAATATCACTTGGCTGGTCAATTCAGCAGCACACATTTGGGGAATGAAACCTTATGACGAGTAATTAACTAACATATTTATATTTCAATGTGGAATTATTTAAAAACACATATTGATTCCAATTTTTTACATTCATTTTAGATCAATCAGCCCCACAGATAATTTGAAAATAGCTTTGGGTGCTTTTGGAGAAGGTTGGCATAATTATCATCATGTGTTTCCATGGGATTACAAAGCAGCTGAACTTGGAAATTATAGTGGAAACTTCACTACTGCTTTTATCGACTTTTTCGCCTACCTTGGACAAGCTTATGATTTAAAAACTGTACCAGTTGAAATCATTGAAAAACGAGCAGCTAGAACAGGTGATGGTTCAAGAGTGGCGAAAAAGAATGCTGAACATTCACATGAAGGTGCTATTTGGGGCTGGGGTGATACAGATATGTCCAAGGATGAAATAGATCAAGTCCAGATCAATAAAAAAAGTGATTAAAAGATTTTAAGATTGTGTTTAATGCGCAATATTGTACAAAAAAAAAATGGTCAATAGCAGAAATATTAAAGAAAAGTTATATACTATGTTAATATATAACATGAAAATCAATTTAGCATCAGGGTAAGAATCACAAGAATATGATAAGACTACAACTAAAAGAAATATAAATATAACAATAGTAATCAAAATTGAAACACGCTATCACATGTAAGAGAATGATGATTTATTAGAAGTGTTTTTGTATGATTAGAGAAAAAGCAATGTGTCAGTTTAAAAACATTCAATTCTTCGTTTGTCTTCCAATATAGTATATTTATACTATTTAGCACTAATATAAGTATTTATAAAAATTCCATATATATATAAATATACTTATATATAAGGGATAGATGTGATCCCAAAGAGAACATAAAAAATGATTATAAACTGTTGATAGAATAAATAAAACTAAGGACAGTAATCCTTGGACGACACCACTGATGTCAATAAACGTGTCATAAATTTTAATCGGAAATAAAGCATTTTTTTACTTGAACATTATTTGTTTGATAAAATCGTATACCATAGGCAAATAAATGTAAATTAATATAATAATATTTGCATCAATTGAGAGGGCAACAGTTCAATAGTAGATTCAATAGATTTAGTGTATAAAATTCGATTTTGCCCTCATCTTATTTTTAACGTTACTAAAATATTGTAATATTTTACACTGTATTTATAAATAAATTATTTCTGTGAAAATAGAATCAACTTTTTTTCCATCTGTCTACTTTGAGTACGATAACTCATTTTATTCAATAAGTGTATTCAATTACCTCATTTATAAATGAATCTATCATAATGATATCATTCTTATATGGTAATCATGTATTCACCTAGTTATTCTCTACTTAAACAATTAACCCTAATTACCGTAATGATTATAGGTGAAGATGATGAAAAGAAAAAAACAAAATGCATCTTAGCAAGTAAAAGTAAACATATTGATTATCATATTTATGTATGAATGGAATAATGCTTGATAAAATTAAATCAAATCTTTCCAACACCTTTACCATTATTCAATATACTCCAATTACTTCAAGTAATTGGAAAGCTCTGTTGTCATGCTACAAGTCATGAGATGGATTAGAAGAGGGAGAAGGGTACTTGATAACTAGTTATAATTTCGTCGTATATTCTACCGGTTGTGCTTGGAATAAAACACGCTCTGATCAAACCTCTACTTTCTTTATTCGAAAGTAAAATTGAATTCGATTGACCGATGTGTTCGAGACCAAGTATCGATAGTGTCAGTTCTTTTCATCGCTGGATTAAAGTAAAGTACTAATTTTCGAGTGAATATAAATATTAAAAAAGTCAATAATCAACAGAAAGTGTTAACTAAATAATAGTACATCATTTTTAAAATTTTCGTAGTTGTAGTGTGTATTTAAATATTTTTTTATTACCTAAATAAACAGTTTGGTGATTGCATATTTGAATAAAAGAGTTTTCCGTATGTTGTTTAATCTTTGAAACTCGTGATATCATATTCTAATATCTTGTTTTTCTATATTTTTATTGCAACTATCTGATAAACATCCATATGATAAATCGTATCAACATTTGATTGCAATCTATATAATAACAGGAACAACAATAGCTTAGAAGATTTTTTTTTAATTGTAAACGAGAAAATCTTTGATTTGTAGTGTAAATAGTATGTTAGATAATATTGATTTTAAAATATTAAGTAGATAGTGAATGAAATTTTGTATTCATGTGATTTAAATAGAAATATTTTTCAAGATATTTCATTTTTATCAATATAAAAAGCTAGATATGAAAGTCTAAAATAATGATTATCGAAATAAATTGATTTTAGTCATATGATAATTAGTTAAGAGACATTAAAAAAGGTGAAAATTTAAAAAATTTGCGCCATCCTGACGTCATAAGCGCCTGCGCATCCAAGAATGAGTGATGATAAAATTTTCTCTGTAACAGAGAACAATGAACCTCAGTGTGACACCAACGGGAGGTTAAATGTTGGATATTTGCAAAACCATAAGCAACTAAAGAAAAATTTTACCAGTTGTTTATTTGGTTTTAGTGTTTTTCTTTTGATCATATGCTGTTGTTTAGTTGCATTTATTATTGTTCTTTATAAAAATATTCATCCAAACGTGCTGCTACAAAACGGTAAGATTATATTCATTTTATCAAAATGAATTTATTTAGCTCATTTTTTTATTTATTAGTAAAGCTTAACAATATAATGTTTTCATAACACGTTATAAATAATGAGCTACAATTTTTTCTATGTATAAAAATTTATTATTTAAAATAAGAAAAATATTTTATTAGCAGAAATATAATGATAACTCGTATCTTATTTAAAACATTTATATTCCAATCATCAACGTTAAAACAAGCGAAAATATTATCAACATACATACGTTCTTATAAAGTTTATCACAATATTGGTAGGTACGAGATATTTATCATTATTTTTAAGAAGTATATTTTTTATAATTTCACAACATATTTCATTACATAGTTGAATTAACTTGTCAAGTAATCAATTTTTATGTAGTATAAGCAAATAAATATTTTACAGATTCGTTCCACAGTAAAACTTCACAAATGGCAAGCAAAGAGGCTTTTAAGAAAACAGATATGACGTTTAGATTGCCAAAAGAAGTCAAACCTCGTCATTATGATCTTTATCTTTATCCAGATTTGGAGAGTGGAACTTTCTCTGGAACTGTAACAATTTTAATTGATGTATTAGATAGAAGAAATTACATTGCTCTTCATCAGAAAGATCTTACAATAACCAAAACAACATTAAAGACAACTGATCTTATAGATAATTATGAACTGGCAATTAAAGAAACATTTACGATAGACAAATTAGAAGAACTCGTGGTTAATTTGGATAGTGATCTTACTCCAGGCCGTTATAATTTATCATTTGAATTTAATGGTGCTCTGCAGCCAGATAAAATTGTTGGATTTTATGCTAGCAAATATAAAGATCCAGAAAATAGAACAAGGTATATAAAATTATTGAACCTGTCTTCCTTAAAATTGAAAATAATTTATTTATCTTTATGTCCTTAGAATAATAGCAACATCAAAATTCGAGCCTACTTATGCTAGAAGAGCATTTCCTTGTTTCGATGAACCTGCCTTTAAAGCTGCATTTTCAGTACAACTAGTTCACCCAACTGGAGACTGTTATAGTGCTCTATCCAGTATGAATGTTGAGGTAATAGATTATAAAAAAATCCAAATTTATCTGTGACATTATTATTCAGTTCGTTATTGCCTATCTTATCTAAATATATTTCCAGAGTACAATTGTAGATAAACCATCACCAGGATTAACAACAGTAACTTTTGCCAAAAGTGTGCCAATGTCTACATATTTAATATGTTTTATTGTCAGTGATTTTGTTTCTGTTACTGCTCCAGCTAAAAAGTTGGATGGTAGTCCGAGCTTACCAATTAGTGTTTACACTACACGAGCACAAAAAGAGAAAGGATCATTTGCCTTAGACATTGGAGTAAAAATAATTGAATATTATACACAACTATTTAAAATAGATTATCCTCTTCCTAAACTTGGTAATTTATTTTATATTAATATATTCATACCGTTTAAATATTTATTTTATCGACGGTTATTCAAGTAAATTGAATAAAATATTTCCAGACATGGCTGCTATACCAGATTTTGTATCTGGAGCCATGGAGAATTGGGGGTTGATTACATACAGAGAAGCTAGGGTTCTCTATGATCAAAAAACCAGTTCAACGTCAGATCAAGAAGGTGTTGTTCAAGTTATTGCACATGAATTCGCTCATATGTGGTTCGGAAATCTAGGTAATAAATAATAATACAATTATTCTTGGAGAAACAAAAACAAATGACAATTTTTTTCTAGTTACCATGGCTTGGTGGAATGATCTTTGGTTGAACGAAGGTTTTGCTAGTTATATGCAATACAAGAGTGCTGATAATATTCTTCCTGAATGGGGATTGGTAAATAATTAGTTGATACTTGTCTTTTTAGTATATACTAGCATCAAAAACAATTTTAAAATAATTTTGTTGTTACAGATGGATCAATTTTTAATAAAAACTCTCCATCCAGTGTTCATAACGGATGCTAAATTAAGTTCTCACCCAATAGTTCAAACTGTAAATAATCCAGATGAAATTACAGCTATTTTTGATGTCATTACATATAGCAAGGTATTTATTAAAAGTTTTATATTATTTGTATTTTTTGCGCAAAATGTAAATATGTTTTACTTTTCCATAGGGAGCTTCAGTACTTCGAATGCTTGAAAATTTCATAACCCCGGAAATTTTTATTGCTGGAGTGACAAAATATTTAAATCAATTTGCATATCAAAATGCAGAAACATCAGATCTTTTCAATATTCTTCAGCAAAGTATCAAGAGTAATATTAACATTACAGCTATAATGGATACATGGACTCGGCAAATGGGACTACCAGTTGTTAGTGTTGAAAAAAATGAAATGACTTATATTTTAAAACAAAAAAGATTTTTGATCGATCCAGAAGCTAAATTTAATCCAACAGAATCTGATTATGGATACAAATGGACTATTCCTATCACTTACATAACCGATAAAAGTTTAACACCCACTTTAGTTTGGTTTGATAAAGATATGACTAGTCTTGAAATAAAATTAAATGAACCTGTTGAGTGGATCAAGTTTAACCACAATCAAGTAGGCTATTATAGAGTAAATTATAGTCAACAGGAATGGGAAAATCTTCTAGACGTATTAAAATGGCATCACAAACGACTTACCATTTCTGACAGAACAAGTTTGATCGAAGATGCATTCAGTTTAGCAGAAGCTTCTCAACTTGATTATACAATTGCTATGAATATTACTTCTTACTTAGGGCAAGAGCGTAGTGCAGTTCCTTGGCGAGTAGCAGAAGCAAAATTATTAGCTATTGATTCTCTACTCGCTTCTACCAGTATTTCACCGAAATTCCGTGAATATGTAAGAAGTATTGTAGAAATTCCTTATCATGATGTAACGTGGCAAGTTGATAATTTTGAAGATCATGATACTTTAAGTTTAAGAACGTCAATTTTAAATTTAGCATGTGCTGTCGGTCACACTGAGTGCCTTGATGAGGTTGGAATTATTTTTAAGCGTTGGGTAGATGATTTTCATGATGAAAGACCTCATCCAGATATTAGAAGTTTAGTTTACAAGTATGGAATGAGTCATGTTGGTAAAGAAGCTGAATGGAATGTTGTTTTTCAACGATTTATTAATGAAACAAATGCCAATGAGAAGCTTAAGTTAATGAGAGGATTAGCAGCCGTACGATCAAGTTATTTGCTCAATAAGTTTATTGGAATTGCTGTTGATTTAAATTATGTAAGATCTCAAGATACTTTTGGGTGTTTAATAGCAATTGCAAGAAATCCAATTGGAACGGGATTAGTTTGGGATTGGGTTCGTGAAAATTGGGAGTTTTTAGTTAAACGATATACATTAAATGATCGTTACTTAGGCCAACTAGTGCCTGCAATATGTCAATCATTTGCTACAGAGTCAAAACTTGAAGAAATGAAAGCTTTCTTTGAAAAGTACCCGGAAGCAGGTGCTGGAAAAGCATACAGAGTACGAGCTCTTGAAACAGTTGCAAACAATATTAAATGGGTCAAAACTAATAGTGCTAAATTAGAAGGTTGGTTAAACTCTCATTCGAAATAATAATATTGAAAAATGTAATTATTTATTCTATTTGCATTTAACTGATCTTATTCAAAGAATTCAAATATTTCATTAATTATTATAAATAATGCAAATTCTTTTTCACAAATGATTGTTATATATTAAAGTTTATTAAATTTAAGTTGAAGTAATTAATAATTATCTGGAGATTAATACTTGATGAATTGTCACTTACATGATGCTTAATTTTTTGTAATAGTACAATGTAATAATTATTTTATCATTTACTCAGAAATTTATATGTTTATACAAATGTAAATATCTATTATAAATGAATGTAAAATATGAAATGTAATTAATTTTCATAAAATTTTCTTTCTATGAACATTATTTAAAACTTGAAACGACTATATATTCGTCACAACATTATTTTATTTTTTCAATAATGAAAATGCAAACCTTTTATTCCGAAAGGTTTCGTATATTTATCTGATTAAATTTTTTTTTATAATAACTTAATGTGAGAATTGCATGACTCGATCCTACACCAGAACCTATGTTATGATTAAATAAACTGATAAGTGGCGAACTAGGTGGCTCGCATCAATGTATTCACTATTGCTTTTCAAGTTTCTGTTGAAGTGACAAGTTTAATACAACTATGTGAGGAATACAGTATTTTGATAAAGAAATATTTTATTAATAATTAATAGCGTTATAGCCTTGGTGACCAGCCCTGACGTAAGTACTACCATCAGTCCTACGTACGTCTACTTCTTTTCTGAGTTGATTTGGTTATCAGGGAATGTGGTAGACAAAATATTATTAAAAAAAGAAAGAGAAAATGGTTCGTTGGAAATGTATCAACTTATTTAAAATCATTGTCATTAGTAGTATTATTGTTATTTATACATCCTTTTTATTTTTCAACAAATCGGTAAGTAAATACAATGCATAAAATGAAATTTCTTAAATTAGATAATCATAATGTCACATTACAAATTCTAACTCAGATAGAAAAAAAAGTAAAAAAAATTTACGAATTACAAATTATTATGAGTAAATTACTGAATCAAAAAATACGTTATATGGCACAAATAAATCCTCCTGTCAATAATGAATGGATTTTTGTTCATAATATTTATGGATATATATTTTCTGCATATCTTGATTTACGTCCAGAAGTTATTGTTACAAATGATTTATTAAAAGACGACTTACCATGGGCACAAGTTAGAATTATAGCAATTTTGCCTCCAGAATTAATAAACAATCCACAAATTGATTGTGTTTACAAATTAACTACAAAGAAGCATTCAATTTATCAAAGACAATCTGCAAGAGTTCAAACGTTTGAGCATTACGTGAATTTAAAATATGTTGCAAGTTTTATTTTGTGTGATTTATTTCATATAAATCATTCTCAAGATGAATCACTTGACAAAGAATTGCCCGAGTCAATTGGAATTATTAAAAAATTATGGAAAGACTCATCTATTACTCAATTCATTGATATACATTATCCGAAAAATGGATTCAATCAACATCAAAGATGGAATAATAAAAAATCAATTGCACTTTGTATTCCAAAAAGTAATAATCCAAATTTTCATTTTAATGTAATGTGTCCAACACTTTTATTAACTGTTTTTGTATTTTCAGTTATTCAGAAAAATTTTAACAATACACTGGCACTTATAAAGTTTATCGAATATTATCGACTCATAGGAATTGAGCAATTTACATTCTATAAAACTTCAATTGCACAAAAAATAAATTCCGTTTTGAAATTCTATGAAAGCATGAATATTGTATCAGTTATTTCATTTATCCACATTGACGACAACAAAATTTCACAATTTCAAGGATTATCAGCAGCTTTAAATGATTGTCACTACAGAACCTCGTTTTACAATGACTATGAATACATTGGAGTTTTTGATATTGATGAGTTTTTAATACTCAAACACCACAAAAGTGTTGAAGGACTATTACAATACCTTGATCCTTCTGCATTAAAACAAGATTACTCACAATATACATCTTTTTCATTTACAAATATTCATCCAAGTGACACTGGAAATATTTCGAATAAAGGTAATTTTTGATTGAACAAATAAGAATGCGAATAATTACAAACGACCTAGGTAACAATGGAACATAGACATACATGGCCCTGATCACATTTTTTTACTCTGTACAATAGCATAAAAGACCACTTCGAATACTTTTTTATCAGGCTCATGCTTTCCATACTTTAAATTAAAGCTAAAAATATCATTTACCAATGTCCTATCCATAAATTCAATGAGTTAAAAGTAATTACTCTAAAGATTAAAAGTTTCAAAAACCCAGTAAGTAATCAAGATTCCATTATTTTTAGAATATTTTTACAATATCTACACTGTAAATCTCAGTTTTCCAAAATGCATTATTTTAATGCATATCTAAGTGTGTAAAAAGTGACTACAATGTTAATCAAATGGGTGACGTCATATTTAACACACTTATCCGCATTAAAATAATGCATTTTGGAAAACTGAGATTTACAGTGTATTCAAAAAAATATTCAGGGTACATGTTTTTTACTTTTGTAATACATTCTATTATATTATGACTCATGTATGATTATACCCGGAGAAAAATCGAAATAATCGTGTTTACTCTCACATTATTTCGCCCTATTAAAACACCTCAACACTGCTGAAGTAGGTGACGTTTTTAGTTAGCGTGACTATCAATTTTCCTAAGTATGTACATCGATGTATACATAATCGATATACTTGGTAAAATATATACCCATCTTCCATGTGGGTACTTACGAAATTAAAGGTTTTTTACCTCATTAGATTCTTCTTTATAAATTTTTACATTCTACGCAATTCTGCCATAAAAAAGCATTGATTCTACGTTGAATTCTGTATCCATCCTCTTTCCATTCTGTGCACAAAATGTGAGGTAGGCACATCTGTACGGCCGTTTATCGCGTCTAGAAGTGTATGGAAGATACATCTAGACGGTCGTATATCACATATCAAAGTGTATTGAAAACACATCTAGACGATCGTTACGTGTTAACACATTTCGTACTACCTATTAGACAAATAATTACCAAATGGCTCCAGTCTGATTTTTTTTCTGTCCAAATTCACTTCCCTATTAGTAATTTATCAGCCGAGATATCTCAAAAAATCAAGTGGGCCATGGTGGAGACTTTAGGGACAGATTTTAATTGATACCTGGGAATCTTTAATAAACTTTAAAAAATTTATCCTTGAAACGATCAATTTTCTTCCTCACACTCTACAAGCTGAATCCAATTTTTGTTGTCATTTTTTTTTAAAATCTTATATACTTTTTATAGTTACAATATCATTTCCTATTATTTTATGTGGAAAGTTCTCATCACTTAATTCACATTTCTATGATAAAACCGTTTATGCTTTTACTTTGGAAAACTTTTCTGAAAATTCTTATACAACATTAAAATATATGTATCTTTTTCAGCATTTAATTTACAATCTCGAATCATTCCGCAAAGGTTTTCTGAGAAAAGCTATATCGATTGGAAACAGTACATTGTACGAGCTCACGACATAACGAAACTACCTCATCAGCTATCAGGATTACAGATGAATCGAAATTTTGTCCATCACTCATTCAACAAAAGTAAAAACAATGGTCATTTTTGCAATGCTTATAAAATGCTAAGATATTTTTTCATTGTTTTTTCGTTGTTACAAGGATTTCAAGAGATGATTGTGGATCCGGCTGTGGCTTTTCTACATTATTCTGCTCCAAATAAGGCGGAAAAAACAGGATTTTATGCTGAATCAATGGAAATTGATGCTCTGATGAAAAAACTAAATAAAATGGTAGAAAAAGTTTGTGCCTCAATTTTTGAAAGTAAAGAGTGTCCACCTTCTGATGAGTGACACGAAATTTATTTTTTTTCACACGAAAAAAAATAGTTTATTTATTTATCAACATGAAAGGACCAATAGCAGAAACCAATTACAGGGCCACGAGAGAATAAAGAGTATAACATCCGAGTAACAAAAATATAAAAAAAGTGATAAATAAAATGGTACCCGAGTTATCATTTTTCTCTTATTTTGCTGCAACATCCTTTGACAGAAATTATTTTAGCTTTTGATAACAATATTTTATTGTTATCGACAATATTGAAAAGTTTCCTCTAGATTAAACATCGTAGTATTGTATTTTTACATTTGACATGTATTTAGACATCAGTATTCAAACACCAATAACGATTTTCATCAAAAATTTCTCACTATATTTTAAAAATATTTGCATTGATTTTTATGTCTGTTACATTCATTTGCATATATAACGACAAGTAAAAATTACTAATTTAAATTACATTTGATATTTTGCTCGTCAAGTTACGTGATTGCTTGCTGTGTCGACGAAAAAGGGTAGAAATTGACTTTCAGAAAATTCGTTTTTTCTACGAATCATATTTATTTCTGTTCGAAAATAACTAGCCTTCAGCGAAAATCATATCGTAATAAAAATTTCTTTGGCAAAACCGATGTCGATATTATGCAAATATTTTCGAAAGGTCAATTGAATCTAATAAACTTGACACTAGAAATTAAACATTACTGAGTGAATTGAAGGTTCAATTTTTCTGTCGATTCATAAATGTAGTCAATACAGTCGTGTAGTTATTATTTCATAAAAGCTTACAAAAAATAATTTTAACAGTACTTAATTATTGTTAATAATAATCGGTGTACACGGGAAAAAATTTTTTTTACTAAATGTAAGTGCAAAAAGTGACAAGTCGACGTTTCGAAATTTATAAATAAAAATATTTCTGTTCAATAATGAATTTTGGGTTATAACTAAACTTACTACTTAAAAGGTGTCTTAGTAAAATGACAACCCAATAACTTATGACAACCCAAAATTCAATGTTAAACAGAAATATTTTTATTTATGAACATCGAAACGTGTACTTGTCACTTTTTACTTACGGTTAGTGCAAAAATTATCTCCATGTAAGAGAAAAGATTACATTGCCATCAGCAATTTTCAAATTTATTTTATTTATTTGTTAATTGATATGTTTTAATAATATTCAATCGTTGTTAGTAGTATTATATTTGTGATATTGACTATCGAACACTTAGAAACGTTAAAAGAAAAAAGCAATTATAAGTTGAAAACAACACGTGGATACAAAGGAGCACACGCAGTCTTCAAAGTCAAGCGATATTTCTTGTGTCTAGGAGTTGGATGGGTGATCGACCGCTCGGAAAAAATAAATTTATTTATTTCAATTATAATCTTCTAGCTATATCCCCTAAATGTAAATAATTCATTAAACTTTTTGATATTTAGGGAGTCCAGCAGCAAAATAATAGAAAAATTCTGATTCGGATATAGGGTAGTTGATGCAATCAAATTAAGAACAGTACAAATGATAAAAAATATAAGTATAAAAAAATACAAACTTCATATATATATATATATAAAATGAGCAATGCAATATATGTATTATACTAATTACTCCCAACTAAGGGTAAATTTTGTATAAATTAGCTGATACATTTAACACAAATTAGTTTAATATTACTGACAGTGTGAAAAATTTTCAACTCATCAAAACTGCCCAAAAGTTAAATTCTATCGCAAATATAATTTCTACTAGTCAATATTTTTATAATATACACGAAGAGAAAAATTATTTAGAACTTAATTAAAAAAATTCCATCCCCGAAGGGGGGGTGGGTTCCAGAACTTACTTACCGCTCATTTTTTTAGGTTTAGATACAGTCAACGCTCATCAATAGTAAATCAATCAGCAAGCCCATCACCATTAAAAGCTAGTTTGGAAAGCCTATCTATGTTTAATAAGAAGTTATGTATGATGAAAAAAAAAACTGCTAGCTAATAACGAATAACGTTTACCTTTAATAGACTTGCTATTAATGAGCACCAACTGTAATTCTATTCAATTATTTGATAAAATTTATTTCACTTGGATTACAAAGTATGTAAAATTAAGATCCAAAAAAGCTCAACTTTGGAAGTTGATACTCTTCAATCCCGTATAGGTGTTAATTTTTTATAAAAACATTTTTCACATATATTTTTGAAATCTTTACTACAAAATTCATCCAAGTTCATCTAAAGATTACATTGAATTTCCTTATCGATTGAAAAGTTTTTCTATTCAGTACAGATTAGGAATATCAATTTCATTATAAAAATTTTTATAAAACAAGTTTTAATAACAGAACTTGTACTTTATTTACTGAGTCTTATTTAAAGATAAATGTAATTATTTTATAATTGATAAAAGTAAAAAGTGGACAAATAAATTGAAGTTCTTTTTTATTATCTTATTTCGTGTAGTTTCAATGACCGTAAGTGTCCCGTTTAACATTTCTTAAAAACACAAAACTTGAATTTCCTGTTCCTGTCTCATAATTAAACTTCTGTGCTGCTCTTTTGATTAATAACGAATCTCGTGTGCTATAGCTGTTCGTCTGATCTCACACAGTTTACTTAATAAAGAATTGCCATCAATTGATCTGTAAATTAATTATTTTCGAGACAATTAATATAACAATATAATTGGCACATGTCATATTTACCCACTTTTTCCAGACAATCCGTACATAGAGATGTTACTTCCAACCAATTGGTACTGTGATAAAGTATATACACTGATGAATTTAATCTCCAATTATATTTCAAGGTTGTTAAAATTAAATTTTATAAATAAATAATATTTAATTTTTGTTGGTGAATAAAGTTATCATTTATTGATTTAAAATAATGCTTGTTTCACAAATAAACTTTGGTATCTAAGTTGATTGCCATTCTGATAAAATTCAGTTTATTGACGTCAAATGACTGAAGAGCATTCGCTACAACATTATCTTGGAATTTCCAAGTCTACTAAAAATTCATTTGTGCATCAATCTTTTTATATTTTCCCAGTTACATGTAACCAATAAGTCTGGAATATATGAAATAGCAATTCATTTACATATGAATCCGAATTACAAGCAAAAAGAAGTAGAATCAATATATATGTCAAGAGATTATAAAATTTTTGTTGGTCATAGTTATTAAATTTATTGGCAAAAAGATATTTTCAAAAGAAATATCCTTTAATTATAAATAAATTTATGTTCACATTTTATTTATGATGATAGTCAATGGATGAATGTAGTTTCGTAAAGGCCTCGACACTTTTTTTACACCTCCACAGATCCTGACATTAACTCTTGAAGACTACTTTTATACGGCCGATTAGGTTGTCGACTTGACAAAATCCTTGGCATATTCCCAATAGACACGTGGCTTTCCACAAGAAAATTCACAACGTGTTCTCTTTGTTTTTTCCCCTTTACAGACAATTGGATCATCAATATTGATCGCAGGATATTTTGTTACATATAAGAAATAAAAAGTATTACATTATTACCTTTGTATCTAATACACAGTATGTTCATTTCGTTACAACTGAAAATATTGTACCTATATTATTTGTTATTATTGATACTACAACGTGTCTGATCATAAATTATTTTATCAGAAATCAAAATACCTTTATCTAAAAACAATGAGAGGGATTTTCAAAAATATTTATTCTAGTTATTCATCATGCATTTCATTGATATTATATATCTATATGTTGACGAAATAAATTCCAATTTAATCCCCTTCGTTTTCAGTTTTAGTTCAAAATAAATGACAAAAAAAAAACTGAAAATGGATTTAGAATACGATTAGTTGTCAATATCTTCTCAATTGATTTAAAATTGAATTATGCTAATTTTAATCAATAAAATAATGTTATTTATATGAAAGCTTTTTATTGTAATAAAAAATGTCGTAGGTTTAAAAATAATTTTAATATAATCATCGAATTTTTTCAATCAATTTTACTTCAACTCTGTTAATTATGAGATTGGTATTATCTTCAGAGATACCGCCTTCCGACAATTGACTAATAACTCCATTTACTAACGCTGTTTAATTGATGTGAAAGTCAATACATGTTGACTAAAATAAATTACTTTAAGGTTGGAATGCATTTATTCCATGGAATAAAAAATATATGATATTAAAATGACTTAATTGAGAGCAACAGTAGCATCTATTTTGCACTTCATGACAGTTGTCATGTTAATTAGGGTTGCAATAAACGTCGATAAAAATTGAAAAAAGAAAATAAATATCATGATCAGTAGTGAGAAATCAGTAGACACTAAAGATGTGTGATGGAGAAGAAATTCAGCGCTGACGCGAGCTTCAACTCCCACCCTCAACCTCCAAGTCGAGTTCCTCCGACACGCGACCAGTCAGACTACACTCTCGATACAAGTTACGACGCGCGAAATTGTTTTACCCTTACATGTATTTTGATAAAACTATCTTTGTTTAAAAGAAACCCAAAAAAAAGTAGCAACGAAATTGCATAAACATTTGTGCATAAAAATTGTATCAATAATCAGTGAAAATTAACAACATAAAAGCATTCATTTATTTATTTAATTTATTTTTACATTAAAAATCGGTACTAGATAACTGGTAAGATGCATTTGAAAACCATGGTTTAACTGGTTTGGTTTTAATTAACTTCCTGAAAAAGTGATATTTAAACATCATTTAACAAAGGATGTATTGAAGATTTTATCATAACTGTTTTTTTAAAACGACTTGATATCACGTCGGAAGTCGTTAGTCAATTTGTGCAACAGGTCACCCAACAAACTAATCATGAAGTTTCTCAACTTTTACTGAAGGACTCATATTAAATCATTTTTTGGCTGATAAGCGATCGACTTGCTTTCATACACCATTTTGAATTTTTTTTTAATTTACATATTCCCTTCACTTGCAATTTTTTTCTTCACTTATCTTTTATCACTAAAATTGAAAATATGAATTTACAAACAAGTCGATATTTGATACAAAATATTAATTAATCAATTTTTGTTCTTTTTTTTCAATCACGGTAAAAAAGTAAAAAAGTTTTCCGTTACAAACATTAAATGAAAGCATGGCAATTGCACTTTTTTCATTGCACACTTGTCCTCCTTTAAACAACAACATCAAAGAGTGAACACAGAAAACCAGTTAAAGGAATTCTTTTCAACAATACTTCGATGCAACCTTCTACTCTCATTATAAACTTTAAATTGATCTTGACAGTGTTCGAGTGGTCAATGGAATAAAACAAATGAATGAAAAATTTAACAGTCAAGTAACGAAAGTGAGCAACAATAAATAAAGAAGATAATTGAATGCATTTAAGAATTAAATGACTATTGGCATCAAAGACATTTATCGATGCAAATGAACATTACTTTTATTTTATAAAATTGTGAGAAAAAAGTGACAATGGAATGTATAATTAGTTTTGAAATATAAATAAGTGCAAATAAAAATGAAAATAGTAAAGTTAAATAAAAATGGCTTAGTAAAAATTGAAAATGACTCGCGAATGAATATAAATAATATAAATATAGAACGTCAACACACATAAAAACTATTTATAAAAAGTGAAATGTTATTCATGTGCAAGAATTATTTTTGCTCAGAGTTTTCATCTGTTTTCCGGATTATCATCATATAATTAGTATAAGTGGTCGAGAGATTAAATAGAAAAATATGCTCCACAATAAACCATTATGACAAAAACAACGAACATGATTGATAACAATAAAATCAATATTTGGAACAAGAATGTGAACATAGAGGATTCATTAATTGATTATCCGCGTGCTGTAAATAACATCAGAAGTAGCAATTTAAATAAATCTGAATGGCTATCAGACTTTAATAATAATAATAATAATAATTACTCTAGTGTTCTGGCAGAATTACTGACTGCTGGAGTTGAGACGAATTTTAATATAACATTAGCACGTCGTGATGCTTTATATATTGTTATTCCTATCACCATCATCTATGCAATCATCTTCCTCACTGGATTAATAGGAAATGTGTCTACGTGTGTGGTGATTGCAAGGAATCGATCTATGCACACAGCAACTAATTATTATTTATTCAGTCTTGCTCTATCTGATCTACTACTACTTGTCTCCGGATTACCTCCAGAAATGTACTATATTTGGTCACATTTTCCATATATCTTTGGAGAAGCTTTTTGCATTATTCAAAGTTTTGCTGCTGAAACATCTGCAAATGCGACGATACTTACCATTACAGCTTTTACTATTGAAAGGTAAAATATATTTTTCTCCATTTCTATCCAAATGCTGAAATCAGTAGAAAAGGTAGCTTATAGAACAGACAACAAGCTACGTCATTCATCTCTCGATCCTTTTTCTTTGTCTAAAAGTGATGCCAGTATTTAAGGATTTCTTCCCTCAGTCCCATCTGTAAACTTAGTTCAAGTCATTAATATTTACTTGACTTAATTAGTAAATGTTTTTTTTACAGATACTTAGCTATTTGTCATCCTTTTTTGTCTCACACAATGTCGAAACTTTCCCGGGCGGTGAAATATATTGTGGCTATTTGGCTTCTGGCTCTATGTTTGGCTATACCTCAAGCAATTCAGTTTGGGGTGGTTTACTCTCATGAGATGAACGGTAGTATGATTCCGGACACCGCAATGTGTTCTATTAAATGGGTAATAATTGAGCATGCATTTGAAATATCAACAATTTTACTGTTCGTTGGGCCTATGACTATTATCACAGTTCTTTATATTCTCATTGGCATTAAACTAAGACATTCAAGGCTACTTACAAATGTAAAAAGGAATCCACTTCCTGGTTGTCTTAATCATGGAGATAGTGGCAAATCTAGAGGAGTCGCACAACGAAATGTCATCCGGATGCTTGGTAAGTTTTTTTTAATGTTTTTATAAATTTCAAAAGGTGATTGTTCAGTTCTAAATCTTTTATAATTTAATTTATCAGTGATTAACATAAATTTATTGAGCTTTTTTGTCTCTAATTTGATTCATTTAACTGTGACACATTACAGTGTCACAAAATTATACAAACAACATTGAAGTTTTATTATAGAACTTAATGATACCTTTTAATGATGGTTGTAAAAGTTAGTTAAAAATATATCATGTCGTGTGATACATTTGCAAGATATTATCAAGTTCACGAATAACAGCTTCCATTTGCATCAGTATCCCAAAAAATCGAACGACATGAAAACCGGTTCTTTTTCTTTTTTATATTGAAAGACCTTGCATTCAGACTGGTTTCGTCAAAGATCCTCAAGTTCCTAAGGTTTCTAAAGTTTATTTATTTCATGTAATGTATTATATTATAAAAATATTATACTGCTTTAAAATTAATCATAAAGTTTCTTGACTTCTAAAATAGGGAATTTCTTCCTTAACATATCTATATCGAAAATAAATAATTAATTACCACTGGTAACCGTGATATTGCGAAATGTACTTTCACGAAGACCTAGAGATGCGACGTTTGAGGTTTGTTTATTCAATAGAAGCCACATGTTCTATCCGGAATTGCAATCAACCATCCGGTCGAGATGAGAACAACATTCTTTTGCTATCTACCTTGACCTTATTTTTATCACTGGTGTACATGTATATTTTTTGTACTTAATTACTTCCTTATCATCATAATGTACATTTAATGATTATCACTCTATTCATCCATTAGCAAAGTTCTACTGGTGTCATAAACAATTAGTATATCTTATTTCTACCTGTTAGAATAAATATCACGACAAAATATTAAAAGTCGTTTCAAACGATTGACCTTACAAATTACTCCAATATAATTGTCAAGTTATTTGAAGCGAAAGATATCTGCAATGTTGACTGTTTATCAAAAGAAACATAAATCAACTAATAAACATGTTAAATAATTATAACATTTAGTTCAAAAGTTTATTAAGTTCTATAATTGTGTCCATTACTTAAACTCGATTGACAATTTATTGATTGAAAGAATTTTATTAGAGAGAAATTTATTCATCCTTATTACTGACTACTCTTTCACAATCCTTTAAAATTGCACTATTCTGAAGGAAATAACATTCTTACGCCCTAATTTTCAACAGAAGGAACAATGAAAAAATCTAATAGCCCACTATGTCAAGCTTAGTACTTTTAAGAATTAAAGTCTTAAATATGTGAGCGACAATTTTATATTTTTTAGTCTTCTTTATGAATACTAAATAAGTAAAATATTATACTTAGTGCATAAAAAGATAAGATAGCATGTTAAGTAACATAATGAATATATTTAAAAATAAAGTTAAAAAAAAAAAAAAAAAAAGTAAATAAGAATAATTTTTATGTTATCAAAAAATATATAATTCAAATTAAAAATTAATAGCTTCTATTATCAAGATGAAAACCATCTCATCAACACTATTGATACATGGATGCTATACAAATATTTTGAACCCTCCGGGATTTTTCCCACGCTTCTTAAATTCTCCTGAGACTACTTGATTTTAACCCTCATCTTTTTATTTAAATAATGAGATCATTTATACAAAGTATTTTATCAAGAATATTTTTCATTTTGATTCACATTTAACTTCGTTTTACTGTCTCCAAATCAATGTTATCAAAAAATTTTTACTAACATTGTATAGTAAGAACCTTACATATAATTGTCATATGATTAATTCTTTCCAATGTCATTTCAGTTGCAGTGGTGGTTGCTTTTTTTATTTGCTGGGCTCCATTTCATGCACAAAGATTATTGGCAGTATATGCTCAAAATACGGCAAATGAACCTCGGGCTGCACTAGTCACAATATATACAGTCCTCACATATATTTCAGGAATATTTTATTATCTCTCAACTACTGTTAACCCTCTCCTCTACAACATTATGTCTAATAAATTTCGTGAAGCTTTTAAGGTAAATTACATTGACATATTTTTTTCATTCTTGTAAACTAATTTATGTAAACGCATTCGTCATTGATTTCATGAAATTGCGAGATTGACTGAATAAATAACTATTTTAAATGTATATCATATTAATTTTATTTCGATGAATATTTGTGGATTCATATATAAAATTCTAGGAATGGTGTAATTTATTTTGTTATTATACAGTGGCAAATATAAATGTCATATGCGTGTGATATATTTATAATTTTTTATTATTATTACCAGAGTATGTTGGCACAACACTGTAGCACGAAAAGATCATCACAAAAAGATAATCCACTGAGACAGACGTATAGTGGTCTTTCTCGCAATGCAAAATCGACAAATAAACAACCAGATCCACAATCATCTTCTTCTGCAAGTGACGACATTCGACAATTAGCGTCATTTACACATTGCCAACATCATGATGATCATCAACAATCAATGACAACGACTAATAGTAATACACCGAAATATTTAGATAACGTTATGAATTGGAGATCAAAACCTGACAACCCTAGATTAATAAGTTTATCAAAGACACGAGAAATTACTTTGGTAACATCATTACCAGAATGTTATAACGACTCTTGCAATTCCAGTCGAAGATTTTCCCAAGCATTTCATCGATGCTTCAATAAAAATGATCAATCTTCTATAGAACCTACAACAATAGGTAATTTTTACCATTGTATAATAACATTAATCATCAGAATAAATAATATTCTTAATTATTTAAACTATTAGTTTACAAAACTAATGGATTAATTTTAATTTTAGGTATTCTTACTGATTGTTCACAAAAATTCTTTACACAGCACAGATCTCCATCATTGACTAAATTTCCGTTTGGAAATAAATTAGCACATAGTCATTCAAATGTAATAAGACATAATAGTATTGATAGTAATCATACTATTCACTCAACGAATCCTCAAGATTTAAATAAGACTGAATTTGTTGGATTAAAGAGTAGTATTCTATAATTTTCTTTAATAGCAATCATTTTGATAGATTTAATTGTATTTAAGCATTTGCAATTTGAGATTATTGAAATTAATTGAATAATAAATTTTTTAAATATATAGAGAGGAATTATCGCAAATCAAATATCAGATAAATATCCTAAGAAAGAAAGAGTTACTTAATTAACTAAATTAATTAATTTTAGACTTGAAACATTGTTTCTAGTAGCTGAACAGTATTATTCTTGGAAGAATTGTTCAGTATATTGATTGTCTCCAATAGAATCGCTTGTCATAGGATTTATAAATATTAATTTATCATTAAAATTTTTTTTATATCAAATTTTTAGTAGAGAATATTAAGCTGGAAACATAAATTTAGATGTCCAAACAACCTGTGATTAAATCAATAATATAATAAAAACTTGATAAAAAAATAATAATTTTTACCATTCTAATTATTTTAAACAGTTCTAATATTAGTAGATACTAAGAGAAGCATTAATTTGTACATATACTGTAAATAATGAATTATAAGTTATTACTGATCCTTATTATGCAATATTTTTTATTATATTCAAAATATAAATTTTATTAATAATAGAATTGAATTCAATGTTGTAACAAATAACAAAAAATATTATATGTAATGGTTCATTAAAAGGCATTTAAATTTGGGTTTTTGGGCGTTTGTCCAAATAAGCCTTGATGTTGGGAATAGCTCGAACTTTTTCCACAAGTTTGGTAAGTTCTGGATGATCCTTGTTCAAAGGATGTCCCAAACCATTAGACAAATAATCGGAATAAGCAGTATACAACACATCCGCGAAGGATAACTAATAAACATAAAAGAGTATTAATTACATATTGAATAATAAACAAATTTAATTCCACTGTAAATCAAAGTGTGTAATAGTAACTGCATATAAATGTATTCAATGTAAAATCTCGTAAACAAACTATAGAATTTATGTAACGCACTCCGAACTGTGTATGAAACGACAACAATGTTCTATAGTTTGTGTATAGTAATTTATGTGGAACTGCATACGCTGAAGGTGTGTTATTTTCAAAGTATTTTAGATTTACAGTGTGATTACATTCTTTATAAAAAAATTATTCAGTTTACCTTTCCATTGACAAAGTAACCTCCATTTTTCTTGACCTGTTCTTCGAATTTACCGAGGAGGAAATCTTTTTTTTCCATTGCAATTTCTTTCAACTTATTTTTTTGATTTGGATCTTTTTCCCAGAAGTAAGTTGATAAAGCTTTTTTTTAAAATATATTGTTAAATATAAGTTCACTCTATACATTTTATTTAATATGTAAAATACATATTTAATATATAAACAATCGATCTTACGTATTCTCAAATCATCCATACTATCAGCAGCAGCATCAATTTCCAACGCTTCAACATCGTTAGATCCATACAACTTGAACTTTTTAGCTAGAAAACGCATTATAGACTTTGACTGATTATACTTTTTCCCATCGATCTCCAATACTGGCAATTGGCCAAGTGGCATAGCTATATTAAAGATCAATACCAATAAAATACACATACATTACGATCAATCTAATTAGTTAAATATTGGAATAAATGTTCAATTCCTTACAAGGTTTAATTTTAGGCCATTCTTCAAAAGATAAACGATTATCTTCAAATTTAATTCCTCCATAATGTAGCATATAACGTATTGGCTCGCCCAAACCGGTAATATCAAAGTAACTTAATTTATAGTTGGACATGGTTGTAAATTTCTTTTTTTAATCAAAAAATTAAATAGTAGTAAATTATATATTAAGAATTCAATAACACTTTCAAATCAAAGTGGTGAAAACAAAGTATTTTATTCTAAATTGAGAGCAAAGAGATATACGTCTTGATGCAAGAATGTTCACGTAGCAACTGATGCAAAAATTTATCTAGCTACTATTTAGATAATATAGCTCGTGGTAAGACCCGCCCTACCAGTTGCATCATAGCTTTATATTATCTTCTACTAATTATTCTCCACAATGCTGAGTCATTGTTCATTGTACAGTATATTTAATAATTGCTGCTTATTAAATATTGTCATTCAATGCGAAACAAAACTTTTATTGTTCAAAATGTAAAAATAGTAATTGAAATCTTCAATCATTGCATTGATCTATATAGAAAATATACACGTGTGATCATCAATAAATATCATGTTTTCGGCTTAAAATAACTATTTTTAATATGAATTATAAAAAAATTATTTTTTAAGTATTTTTATCGATATCTAATTATATAAGATAATCATATTATGCAATCAGTATTTATCATAAAACCAATAAGGCTGACCGCAAGATATATTATATTTCATGCTTTATGGTTTTAAATAATTCTTTTAATCAGAATATGTTTCATAATTTTACGTAATCTATTAAATTGTTTAATATATTTCTATTTAATATCTGAATCCACGACCATTTAATATTTCGGATTTTTAAATAATAATTTAAATATATAATGAACGAGTTAATCAGTAAGTTTACACTCGAGATAATTAAAAAAACACTTGTCATATACTAAATAGGAAACATTGTTAAAGAAAAATAGCTTATAAATTTTTATGCAATGTAAATGTAATGTTTTAAGATTGATACAATATGTTTAACAATTGTTTTTTGATACTTTATCAATAAGTGTTTATTTTAATAATAAGAAAATAGAAAACTATAGCCTCAATCTGGCCTAATACGAATGTATTTTTGGATTGTCAAAATTTTTATTCGAGACACAGAATTTTTATGCATCAGATGGAGGGCGTTTTTCAACCCAAGCTTTAATTTGTGGTATGGCCAAAACTTTCTCTTTTAAAGCCTTTAAATTGCTGTATTTTTCAATAATATCAAACCCAGCCATAAAATTGAGATAATCCAGTAAAGCCACAAAGACAAAGTCAGCCCATGTAAGAGAACCACCAACAAAATATCCGTTATTGTTTTTCACTTGTTCATCCAAACGTTCTAAATAATATGGAAGAGTTTCATTCAATGCAACTTTACGTTTAGCTTCCTTGGCTTCAGCATGTGATTCATAGTGAAAAGCTCCAAGTTCTTGTAAAATTAAATATTGATAGTGAGAGATTAAAAATCTTATCGGTTCTATAGATAGTATCATGATATACTTACTTTGACGCATATCATGAATGGTATCAACGGTGGCATCAATTAAGAGATTTTGCCAGTCATCTTTACCGGCAAGTCCAAACTGTTTAGCTAGATAACGACAAATTGCTGTAGATTGATGTACCTTTTTTCCATCAACTTCCAGAACAGGAACTTGTCCAAATGGCATTTCTAATAAATTTCCAATATAGAAAATTATCCTGATTAGATTTAGATAATTACAAACAAACTTACCTGGTTTGATCTTTGGCCAGTCTTCGCGATTGAATCGATCATCTTCAAACTCCACTCCTCCATAGCTAAAAAGAAATCTTATTGGCTCAGCCAATGCTTTAACTGGAAAATAAGTCAGCTTGTATTTAACCATTTTTTCCTGCAACACATCATTCAAATAGTTAGCAAATAGTTAATCGATTATACCTATACATACGTGTATATATTTAACAGATAAATTATCAATTGTAAATACTTTTTTATTTCTTTATTTTTGAGATTGAAAAAAATATGATAACATAATATCTCAATAATAATTTTATTGATATGTTGTTTACCATTTTAATTCTTCAACATCGTATAGTAAAAATCATATTAGAATATTATGAAAAGAAAATGTCCCTTTCTCTGTCATTGAAACACATAAAGGAATCAGTATGAAATACTACTGTATGTACATACTATTGAGTGACCTACACTAATGTAATATTATTAAAAAAAATTTATAACAAGAAATCATAAATAGAAAAACAAGACATTAAACTCTAATTAAAATAACTATGAATAAATTAAACATATCATTTTCATTTTCGTATAGAAATTAATATAAATAATTCGATAATTGTTTGATATACCTTAGAAAAAGAATTATATTAGCCGGTAAAATAATTTTACTAATTATTTGATTGAGCATCAAGAAATAGTACTGAATTGATAAATTTTTTTGCAAAAACTGACTTAAATAATGTTTTTTAAAATATTCTATAATAAATACCTCGTATATATTTGCAAAGTAATGGAATCAGAGTACGCCCTTTAGTAGATCCTGTAGAATTATAAAAAAAACGTCGAACGGAAAGTTACTTTATAGCATATATACAGTTTTATTGATGATCGTCAGATGACTCGAGTAGTACAATTAAGTGTTTCCCTCTCATGATAACATGTATGATCACTTGAGCCTTATTTTTCATAGAAAAAGATAGATTGCCCTACAAACAAAAGCTTTTTTTTTATAACAAAAATACCATGAAAAACTATGCGCATGTCTGTTATTATAATGTATCGTAGATATGACAATAGACTCCCATGAAGTTTTACACTGAATAAATATATGATATTTGAAAACAATTCAGATTCTTAAATTTTGTCATGTCATTGACAATTGATAAAAATCCACTTTTGTGCCCAATTATATTATTTATAAAATTGATAGAATATTAATAGTATTGCATAATTTTTTCGCAATAATGAGTCTCATCTAATAAACATTAAAGTGTCTGACTTTTATACAAGAAAGTTTTTTCTGACCGATGATATCAAAAATACAAAAATTTATACTTGTTTTATCATCATTTTTGAGAAGGCATTGCAGTTTTTTTAGATCACGTAATAGCAATAAATGTCTATGTTAAAAATTTTCTGGCATTTATTCAAATCGTATTAAAATTTCATCAATATTTGGCTATTGTTGTTAGAATCACTAACATCCTCAATAGAAAGTGGGGATATAGATTCCGGTGTGTACTGAAACAGTAGGAAAGAAAATTATTATAGTATTACAGATAAATCGATTTAACGTTATAATTTAATGGGAATGTAAACAGTCCTAAAATTCCTGATATTAAGAAACAAAATAAATGAAGTACCGATCAACATCTATTGCATAAAATCATGGGAAACATCGTTAGGTATTAGCTTTTGCGCATGCGCGGTACCATAAACGCAACTTCATAGCGCCACCACATTAAATTCTATGAATTATCTTTTTCAAATGAGCATTGACTTTTTTCTTACTAACGTACCTGCGTTTACTTGCTCAATCAATAATGATAAATGCAAGGATATAATTAAATAGATCACGGAATTTTTTATGAAATTATAATTAATAATATTTCATTAAAATCGAGTTCAATAAAATACGATAAAAAATTGCAATAAATAGTGAAAGATTATTTTGAAAAATTTTTCCAAATTAGCAACCAATGACTGAAGAATGGTATAAAATTGAGTATTGGTAAATTTTTACTGCGCATGTGCATAGAAGATCGTGTGCTAGACGCTTACCAATAACGATCATAATGATTTTTCTAATATAAAAAAAAAATAATTTTGTTAACAATAACAATAACAATGAACTTCTAAGGACTCCAGCAACAAATTAAATAATATTGTGAGAATATTTTACCACCAATTTCCTTAGTAAAATTAAAAAAAGCTATTCACGTAACGGGTCTGCAACACTGGTAGACGTGGCAACATTGTATTAGCTTGTTTTGGATTGCTGAGTGGTAGCCGTTCGGTATACGAGCGTAAAAGTTAACAGAAGCTTTGCAGTGTGGCTTCAATTTTTCTTCATTTTAATCGTTTCTAAAGCATGTGCATTAAATATCTTCACTCTACTACTTTATCGTAACAGGTAAGTGTTTTGTATACATATACAGATCAATTATAATACATAGAATAAGGATGATGAGCCGTCGTCAGTTTCATTATTTGAAAGGTCATACGGCTTAACCATTGAAGTTGTATTTTGTCTTGCACTTCGACAAAATATCCATTGTTTATAATTAAATCGCCGAAATTAAGATTTAACTTATACTTTCAATAGAATCTTCAGTTAGAATACTTATTAGGATTATCTGAATTTAATTGATCCTCAACCTTTAATAACAATATTTCTATAACAAAACCCGTCTTTATATTGAAGGTTAGGAATGAATTCAAATACGAAGTTATACATGTATAACGTCATCGTCTTATTAAATATTTGTAATTTAGACAAAAACCTGTCTCAACATCTCTAAATTGTTGAAAGTCCATTGTTGCTAAATTCTGCAGATGGTTATCAATATTATTGATATTGATAAAAAATATAGTTTTATTATTCGTGCTCAAGCATAAAATTCTTATAATTCTACGCCTACCATCTGAATGTCTATTGTAAGAAATTTATTTTAGCATTTTTACAGATATCTGAGGAAACTCAATCAAATACTACTGTTATATTCTACATATGGTAGTTTGTAATATTCGTATTCTGGTTCATATAACTTTAAAGTTACTGGACCGGTTTTGATTTAATCAAAAATAATATAATACTAATTAATCAAAGTAATTCGTAACAATTGGTTCAATGTTATAATACGGTACTTCATTTTATTTTTTTAATTGACGTAATTCCTAAAAGTTTATCGATCTCCTCAAACTAACTACGTTTTAGCTTTGTGTGGGCCTGGTTCAAGCTTCCTGATCACGTGGTTTTTCGACAGTATTAATTTCTAATCGTCAAAAAAAAAGAATCTTGATTGCCTTATTAATTATTTCGATTGAACCAATATTATTTTTATATTTTTCCTCCAAATTGCCATAGTGACGATAAAAAATTTAATATTACGTAATACACACGCATTTCCTGAATGCGCAGAATCGATTAGTTACTAAGGGCATTCACTGCTTGCAGTCTCAGAGAAAATATTCATATTTAATCAAACTCATCCAAGTTCACAATATTTTTGCATTATTAGTATTTAGAATAAATAAATTTACAGTAATGCAGAAATAATTACATTCCTAAATATTTATGAACGAACCATCAATTAATCGATCAGCGTAAGCGCCTCCTAACTTACTCTGCTGTACTAAATTAACAACTAATGCAACAATACAAATTTATAATCATTTAACAATAATTTTCTTTTTTTTATTGTTTTTATCAATAAAAATTATTAATTTTCAATCTAAAAAACAAAAAAAAAAGTTTTTTATGATGATTAACTTATATTTTATAATGATTAAAGCATTTTTTTCAAAATTCAACAATGATATAAAAATAACTAAAAAAAAATTTATCATGGCGTTATATCAAATATTGAATGTATTGCTGATCAAAATAAAACAAATGAGGGCAGCAAGAGATCCCACGTATTCGTGCCTCAATTGCCAAGATCATTTATTCATTTAACAATTAAATAACAATCATTTATTGAAATAGGGATATTATAAATGTTGCTGGCAATCAAATGATTAAATACTCGAATATCAAAGCAAAAATAAATATAACAGCTACGATCGAAATGGATCCTTTTAGAGCACATTCTGTCGCCATGTTTTTTACTTCGTGATTGTTCGGTAAACTTCGTAGCAGTACCCCGGGGCCTAGGTTCAGTGTTCTACGTTCAACGTGCAATGCTGTCGATAAATGTGCCGTGCTAACATTGGTTGAGACAACGTTTAGTTAAACCATTTGATATCAAGTGATTACTTGGCTTTAAATATCAATGGAGAATTTAAAGGTAACGATTGTTTCTTATGTTTGATTACTCTAAATTATCAATCATCATGGTATTTAATACTGCTATGTGTTTGTGTACTTTTCATATATGCACAAGCGTGTATATAAATATATGTGTACACATATACATATACGTGTATCATACATAGATATACTTAATAGAATACTTGCGCCGTTTGGTAGGACGCTACACAACCATCTGTACAGAGGTTTTTACTTTCAGCTGTTCCGAACTCAGGAACGGCACAAATGACATCCGTAAGGGCGCGAAAAATAAAAAAATCAATATTTCGGAAATCATTCGCCTAAAAACTCACTCTCATTTTGCAATAGCACCTGTTTTCGTACTAAAAAAAAGAAGCTCAGGATTACCTACAGTTTTGGACGATTCTATTTTTAAAAATTATTTCTTTCTAGTCTTGGCCAATTCAGATACATTCGCTTGCCCAATATTTGATCAAGACACTCATAATTTTGATGCCGAATTTAACAATAATTTTTTTTAATAAAAATAAAAAATTCAACGAAACAAATATCAACTTGGAATTTATTACAATTAATTCTGTTAATAAAGACGCGGAATTTCTTTAATATTAAATATATCCATTAGGAAAGGACAAATAGATAGACAAATAGTTAAAATTACAAAAAAAAATAAAAAAGATGATTGCATACTTATTTTTTTAGTCCTAATTATCTATCTATCTATTTGTTTGTTGACCTTATATCCAAGTCTTCTAATAACATTTATTCGTTTCTATGTTAATACAGAAAATTATAACATTTAAAACTTGAGTGAGAAATGATGGAACCAATAACAACTCCCATGATGCATATATCAGAATCGAAAACTATTTGCTCTTCATTGTCCTGTACTACAAGTGAAAATGATGAGATAGCAAAAAAGTTAGAAGATGAGCTTTTATATGGTGTTGAGGATGATGCAGATGAGGAAGATGCTTTATCTGATGATAGCTTGCGTTTGAGGCTATCTGATGATGAAATTGATGGAGATGATAATAATACTGCCATTTCCTGCCCTATGAATGATCAACTTAAATCAGTAAAGACTGAACCTCAAGGTGAGTGATATTATTCTTAGGGTTACCATTTGATATGCTAGACAAACAATATAACGCAACTAAGTGTAGCTTTATTTGAATCCAGAATTACTTAATATTAATTAATAATCTTGATAATTTTCCATCACTAATTCTGAATTCGGTACATGGACATATGAAGTTAGCTAATAATCGAAATATATCGAAAAAATGAATGACTTTTTCCTTATTGGTTATTTTATTTGTGCGGGAAATTTAAAAAATTAGTAATTTGCATTGTGCATCCACGACGTGCACTTTGTGCGCGCTAATTTCTTATTGATACTAGATCCGAGGTTAAAGCTCCGAATACACTACTCAGTGAGAAAGATTGATGTTAGATTACCTCACAATTTAGGGTAACCGTGATATACTACATTGACAGAATAAAATTTATCCTGCAAACGACGAATTTGAATGAAGTAAAAAAACAAATTTTACCATCATAAAAAATTAATTTTATTAATTTACAGAGTTAATCTAATGTGATAGTATGTGCCAAAATGAAAAAAAAAGTGTGAACAGATATACGTATATAACTACATATTCTTATATATATACGGAGAGAAAATTATTGGAATTCTCACACTCGTCACAGAGTACAGTACCGGACACAAATGCTATATGATTTTCTATAGGACGGTGTAGGGAAATCGCATGTATAACCTTTAAAAAATCGAACAGCATTTATGTCCTGTACTATACAAGGGACGAATAATGAAATTTTTCAAAAACAAATTAGGAAAAATTTTATCGATGCATAATAATTTTTTATAGAAACGTTACTTCTCCTTAAAATTTCCGCTCCGTGTAGGAAAATGTCAAAAAGAGACCGTCCCGTTCAAAACGGGACGAATGCAGAGAAAAGAGATAATATATAGAAGAACCATCCTAATGAGAGCTGTTGGACGGTAATTTTTACCTGCTGTTATATGGCTGAGGATACAAAACTAATGCTAAAATGCGTTATGTATCCCCAAGAATTCGTCCAACAGATCCCCATGCGGTGGTTCTTCTATATTATTTCTTTTCTCTGACGAGGTTATATTACGATATAAGGTTCCGTAAACAAACTATAGATTTTAACACACTTTGAAGTGTGTATAAAATAATTACAAGGCTCTATAGTTTGTGTGTAACAATTAGCATTAAACACATTTAGTGTGTTATTTTAAGGCTAGGCTTTACTCAAAATTTTTGCCTTATTAGCTGTAGCAGAAAGCACCTGAAAAATGATATGACGAAATACATCCTAATTACTGCGTTTTTTAATGTAAAATGATTTTATTTATAATATAGAAGGTGGCAAGGATGTCGGCAGATAACTTTTTCCAGCGAAAAATTTGTAAAAAAAAAATAATTCATTATTTTCTCTTGACGGCCATGAAGCATGAAAAATCTAGCAATAATTCGATGACAATTTCCTTTCTAATTAAATTTTATTAAAATATAAATTAACAAAATAAAATGTTTACCAGCGGTATTCTACATGAAATAAACTTTATGTTGATGCTAAAATCAATGAATATAATTGCAAATTGGCTGATAAATTAGTTATTTTCCGACTCCTTGGGATTTTTTAGGGGGAAACCGAAGTAAAGCCCATCTTTAACAAATTTCAATTTGCAGTGTAATTTTTATTCAATTCGTCTGTCAGTGTGTATGGTGAACACGTGAAGTGAAGTGAACAAGTTCAGTGTTGAATATCAGCAACACATTTTAAGAGTTATATAATCGTTTCATACATACTTCAGGGAGTGAAATCTGTAGATTACTTATGGTATTGAACATTGAAAACGTTCATGTGTTTACTATACTTACTTCGATTTACAGTATAGTTCATATTGTTGCAACTTTTTCATTAAAATATAAATAAATAGAGCAGTTGAGTATAATTAGAATCAAAAGTAGGGAAAGGGAGGGTAAAGTAGAATGCGAGGCAAAGTGAAACACACGGAAAAATGTACTAATTTTTTAAAATAAGTTTAAAAACGACTATTGGACTTTTCGTTGTCAGTGTTTCAATTTATCAATGCATTAAAAATTATCAACATTTGTTAATATAATGTTTAATCTGTTGATTTAAATTTTTTCTTGGTGTTCTACTTTACCCCACCTTCCCCTACTAATCAATAGTTTGAAGACAAATGAAATGTGAAAAATGATTTGGTTTAGTCTAATAATTTATTCAAATTTACTCATTATCATATAGATTATAGTAATCACCGAAATTTTGAGAAACAGAAGCATACAAAAAATCAGAGTTATAATATGTAAAATGATAATTTTAATGAATTGCCAATATGAAGTACACATTTTCGGATTAGTTGAAAATTAGTAATATTAATTAGTAATTAAAGAAAATATTTCAGCTGATTGGTGTACATCAAAAACTGGCGAAAATTCAAATGAAACAAAAAATGAGAAAAGTGAATCAAATTCTAATAACATTAATTTTACCGAAATTAATTTCAAATTATCTGATGTTAATACCGAATCTGATTCTTCAAATCAAGAGCCAAAAACGATTATTGAAAATTCATGTGAATCCAAAGTTCAGGATCCAATTAAGACTATTACAGATAATAATACTGAAAATGTTTTACAAAATCCTAATGACTCGGATGAAAATACATCTAAAATACCAATTAGTATTACAAGTAATGACAGTTTAAATCTTCAAGAAAATGATTCAGAAAAATTAGAAGAACATCTTACGCCTGTCCAAAAAGTTGCTGATGATGTGAGTAATGACTCTAATGAATCAAATATTAAAGAAGATACAAGTATTTTGAATGATGATGATCGAATGAAATTACCTCAAAACACTGAAATTGAAAATGATCCGCCCGTACCAACTTCTACCACTAGTTTGGAAGATGATAACCAAAAAAGTAAAAACAAAGACGATGAAAAACAAAAAGAAGACAGTGTTGTTAAAAAAACATCTGACAGTAACATTATCGATAATATTCCAATAAAACAAGAGATTCCAAGCCCAAAATTAGATTCGATTGAAAAAACAAATAATAAACGGCGTTTAAGTGAATCTGATGGTGATGAAGTTAGGATGCATAATAAAGTTTTATGTCAGGAATTTGCAGAAAATTCACCAAAACCTCTGACCATGCAAGAAAATGTAACAGTAAAAATTTGTCAAGGACCAGATGGAGTTTCTGAACTTGAAAAAATAATGGAATCAGAAGGAAAAAGCATATCTGATGAAAATAGTCTTAAAAATAATTTTCTTAATAATGATTCATGCAGTATAGACATGGAAAATACCACTTTTTCCTTAAAAACTTCTGTAGAAGATGAAAATGATAAGAATGACGAACACGTGGAAAAAGAAGGTGAAATTGATAAATCGCATGGGGAATCTATTAAAGGTAAACGACGGAGAAAAAGAAGAAAAACTATTTCACCTAATATGATCAATCAATTTCCGATACACCTTCAAATACAAGGTGATTGTTTGTATTATTGTTAATCATTCTTTAAACATATTATTATAAATTTTAATTTAAAGGATATTGTAGAAGTTGTATCATTATTAACATTAAATAATTTACATTGTTTCAGAGAAAGAAAATGTTCGTCAGAAACGTGAAACTGCTCAAAAAGCTCAAGAAATGATTAGAAAACTTAATAACGATAGTGATTCAGATAGTGACGAAAGAACAAGTAAGATATCTTATAAAAGCCGAAATTCTCATTCACAATCATTATCTTCACCGACATTGAAAAGAAATCTTTTTGAAAATGAGGAAGGTTTCGATGGGACATCTAAAAAACCGAAAAATAATGTTGGGGCCAAATATGCCGATACCATTGAAGCTGTAGCAAGTGAAAACAAACAAACTTTAGAACATGTACGGAAATTCTTTTTAAGAGACGCTAAACAAAAATTAGCAAAACTAACTCAAGAGGTAAAAAATTTCAATTTTTATGCTTTATATATATTATTATTACGAATAACAATAACAAATAGCTTAATGTATGTAATTATTTTATTTTCAGCAACTTGAAGAGATCTTAATTCAAAAAGTAATTGAAACAATAACAATGCGTGATGAAATAGGAAGATTGCGAGAACAAGCTAGAATATCTGAAAGAAATCAAGAAGCAACAAGACTCAAATGTCAACAATTGGCGAAACAAATAAAAGACTTTGAAATGGTATTAACTCGTTTTGCTGCCGATCGTCGTTCAAATGAAAAAACGGCTACACCTATTAAAATAAATAGATCAGTAGGACTTCAAGTGAGCTTTGTTACGGTAAATAATTTATTAAATCTTATGACATTATTTACATATATTTTATCATTTTTTTTGTTTACAAATATTCATAAAACTTATGTTATAGGAAAATGGAATCCAAAATTTAAGACAATTAAATAACATGAAATCTAATTCATTACCAAATGGAGTAAATACACTTGTTAAACCAAATGATGAATTAGCAACAAGAAAAGGAATTAAAGTTCGATCACCAAGAAGACCGGAAATTCCAGTATCAACTCCAGTCACATCTATTTCAACAGTTCCTGCTTCAGTTACAGTAAATTCGTCTCTATCAGCTGGGTCATTATCGTCTCGAGGATTGGTTATTACGAAAGCTGTCGATCCTCGCCAACCCGTACTCACTACCATAGCACCTTCAGTAGTTAATCAACAACTACCAAATGTAAGTTTTATAACCGAAAATGAAATTTTATAAAAAGTAGTGATTATCATTTATACATGAATTTTATAATGATTTGGAAAAATTATTCCAGCAAGCACTTACGTTGAATGTTCATGGAGTTTCAATTCACCGAAATAACCCAAATCATCAAACAAAAGTACTCAATGTTCATAGTAACGATAACAACAGTAGTAGCAGTGATAATACTAGTAATAGTAACAGTAATATTAGCACTTCTATCAACAATAGTGGTGTTAATAGTAATATTAATACTAGTACTACCAATAACAATAGTGCAAATCTCATTGACCTTACAGAAGAAGAAGAGAAAAATAAAGGTAAGTTTTGTTTAAAATGGAACATTTATTACATTTGATGTTTTTGATTTGGTTTATAGGAGTGTGTGTGTATATGTATGTATGTATGACTTTCTCTAAGTCAAATAAATTATAGTTCCTACAGATCCACCGCCGTTGTCTACTATCTCGGTACAAGCAAAAGATCATCCAACAGTGTCAAACGCTACACCACGCTATCCAAGGATAGTCCAACCAGCTCCTGCTAATGTAACTCTCTCACAATCTGCCATCAAAGTTATTCAACCCACGGATAAACCTACTCCAACGGCTTTAGTAGTAAGTTATTAAATATTTAATAGCTGCAAGATATTTAAATGATGATTGGAATCAGTTCACATCAGTTTATTTTTTATTTTTTAGAACAATATGTCTGCATCTCCTCGATTAACCTTAGTAATGAAAGGAGGAACTGGACAGCCTCAATTATTTATAGCTAATACGAATCAAGTAAATTTACTTTATTTGTATAATCATGATTTGAATACTGCAAATTTCGGAAAAATTACAGTGTTTAGTAATAAAACGCTTAAAGTGTTTAATAATTATAAATTTTACATCATTGAATTTTACAATATATCGCTATAGTTTATTTATGACGTTTAACATTGTAAACACTTCAACTGTTTTGTTTCTGAACACTTGGATTTGTAGTGAAATAAATTACAATGAATAATTTTTTTTTCTTTTTAAACTTTTAGATTCGACCAGTAGTAAGCACAGCCCCAAGACCACCATTTTCTGGAATTACTTATTCAGGTTTGAGTTGTTTTTATTAAGAAAAAAAAAATTGAATTATGATCAATAATATTAATATCTAATAATTTTTTTTTAATAATATTCTAGGTGTTGTTTCGGGTCAAACAATATCAAATGGAACAACACAGGTACGTGTTGTTCCAGCGTCAAATGTAACAGCCGCACAAAAGCTCAAGGTAATTGTTTAGTTATATTTATAGAAAATAATTATTACGTTAATGGTAAGATTTAAAAATAATGACAATCGACTATAAATAAATTTCAGCATCCTGCAGCTCTTCCAGCACCACAAAAATATCCCATGATACCTAGTTTAAAGCTGCCACCTCCTGCTCCTTCGTTGAAGATATCTAAAGCTCCAAATGGTAAATATACATATTAACAACAAATCATATACTCTCTAAAAAGGAAACAGTGAAAATAATGAAATAGACTGCAAAATCAGTGAATATTTATTGATTTTGCAGTGTAAATTGAACCACTGATTGAATCAGTTTTATTATATTCACTGATTCAGCAGCCTATTTCATTATTTCCATTGTTTTATTTTTAGAGAGTACATATAAATACATAGTAAATCGAAAGTATTATTATTTGAGTATTATCATCAAATATAATTAATAAATAATTTATTTATTCTCTAGGAATTGTTTTATCTTGGAATATGGCTTTATCTGATAAATATGCAGAGATAGCTAGTTATCAATTATATGCCTATCAAGAAGTTACAGGAATGGTACCTCGCTCAACATTGTGGAGAAAAGTAGGTGATGTTCGAGCTTTAGCACTGCCAATGGCTTGCACATTAACTCAAGTAAATATATTCTAAAATAATTATTATACATGAACAGTAGTAAACAAAAGGATTAATGATGATCTCTCTTGAAGTTTACAGAAGGAAATACTTATTACTTTGCGGTCAGAGCTGTTGATACACATTCCAGGGTTGGAAGTTACAGCCGACCCGGAAGCATTTTTTTGTAATATTAATAAATAATTAATTTAATTATCTCGAATACATTGTTTTTATAATTGATATGTTACATTTATAGGATGAAATACAATATTTTTTTAAGTTTATTGTCATCAATAACTTAGACGCTAATGATATTATAAACGATCTACATACATGAACTGTGTTCTAAATAGGTTTTAATACTTGACACATATGTAAATAGATGAGTGTATGTTTCGTTATTATTATGAATGATAAAATATTGATGCTGAAAGATTGTCCTTTTAAAAATCATGTGAAAAAATTTCTACTTTCGCCATACATCAAATTATTTATTTTTTTAATTTCAGATAAGATTTTAAAAAAAACTTGTTTTGTAATATAAAAAAATTATAATTTTTTAATATCTTATTTATTCAATTATTTAATAGTATAAAGACATACTTTCATTCTTTGTAAAATGTATAGTTAAAAATTGAAGAAGAAAAAAAAATAGAATCCTTTTATATGACAGAAAAAATCCCTAGTAAATACTTACAACTAACATTATTAATAAACAGTTTTATGTCGTATTTAATTACTATCAAGAATACATAAATAAAATCATTATTTTAAGCCTACAATAAATTATTAAGTATAATTATAAAAAAGAAAAAAATTAGATTAAAGAAAAATCCTAGTAATTTGAAGATGTCAGCACTGATGTTGAATATCATACAACTTCAGAGTGGTATAATCAGCCAATGCAGTGATTGGAGTTGAATTTTTTCGCGACAACGGGATTTTTATAAGCTGTGAATGGAGTAACTGTGATTGTGGGTGAGTCTTGAAATTTGCTGCAAAGGTCACTACAAAACGCATGGTGTTCTCCTCCCACTAATGTAACAGCAGTAACTTTGTTTCTTTGTATATAAGTATAATGCGAAGAAAATGAGTCATACAAACGTAATACCAAGTCTAAACAAAAGTCAAATGTAAAAATAAAGTATTTCAATGTTATAACACCATTTTTAATCAGTTAATAATAATGGATTTATAATTGTGGAGTAGGTTATAATGATTAAAGTGAAATATTTAGTGAGAATGATGAATTGATACGGCAATGAAGATTGGTATTGATAAATAATTCAACTGCCATTAGGGCCCAGTATGACGAGTTAGTTTTGTGGGCAAGTTGACAGTGAAAGTAATAGTGACTTACCAGTAACTGCTACTGTTGTTGCAGTTATGAGTGCACCAAATCAACTATGTCAAGCAATAGTTAGAGTAATGGAGAAAAGCGAATTTCATTCAATTCTACCAGTGTGTGCGCGACTGTCGCAGAAAGTTAGTAAACCTTTTCTCACTAGAAACGTAGCTTCGTCACTTTTGGCATTAAATTCTAAACAATTATCATCACTTTTTTATCGACTCACATCATTTGAGTTTTAATGGATTATACTAAAGACTGTGAAAACATCGAATAATATAAATAATTATAATTTTGATAGTCAAGGTTCATGCTGAAAGCATAAAAATAACATTAATAAGAATCAGTGAATGCTACATAGAAAGATCTAGCAATTTTAATCACATCTCAGCATACTGTTGTTATCTCTAAGAGAAACCGCGAGTGTCGTGTGTAAAAAGCAGCTGCTATGTTCTTATCGTTGTACCAAATTTTTAGCATCAGTGTCATTTAGTTTACAAAAAGCTGTAAAAGCTTGTGATACTTATTTAGAATGTCAAAATGCTTCATTTATTAGTGTGTGAACAAAATTGAAAATAAAAACAGCAACAATAATAATAACAATAAAATTTGAAAAACAACGAGTAAAATAAATAAAAACGCTCATCAGGGGATGCCTAGCCTACATTCGCTCGTCGTACGACGAGCTCCTCTCATGGATATGGGTACTGCCACAAGTTCAGTCACGTCTGTTAATCCAGCTGTTAAAAATGGTACAATTCATAAGAAAATGGACAAAAACAATAAACTGACTTCTATTAAACTACCACCATTGGTTAAAAAAGAATCTAGTGTTAATAATTTGTCTGTAACTGAGAGAACACTTCCTGGAAAGGGTGTTGATACTCCTCTTTTAGGTCGCCCTGAAAGTAGTGCAAGTTTAGAAGCCAAGGGTAACAGTTGGGCTAATCTAGCTCCAGGAACTAATTTAAGAAAATGCGAAACTGCTGTAGGACTTAGTACTCTTTACTTGGAAAACAGACCTATCAACAAGAGCCGTGTTTGCTCCAGATGTTCTAGTTTACTTTCCCTGGCATCAAGCTCACGATATAGTCTTGCTGCTGGCAACTTTGTCCCTGCTGCAACTTCTCAGCAAACAGCCAATCAGTTTTTCTGTAAGCTTTGCCTTGTTGATGTTTCACTATCTAAGATATTCAGGATTGAAGGTTGTGGATGTTTTTATTGTAAAGATGTAAGTCGATTGCAGCTCGTCATCTAATTGTTTATTAAACATTTACTGCAATACTTTTTTTTTATATTTAATCGTATAATGAATTACCTATTTTTTTGTCATACTATTATCTTGTTTTTTTTTTTTCAGTGTATGAAAGATTATGTTGAATTTGAAATTGAAGAGGGAGCTTATGAAATTAGTTGTCCCGATGCACAGTGTGATTGTGATTCTATTCTTACTTTAAAGGAGATTTCTACACTTGTTTCTCCAGAGTTGATGGAAAAACATCATAAATTCCGTCTCAATAGAGGTTTGTATTTGTCATTTCGAAAGAAAAATTCATTGTTACTCAAATTATTGAATAATTTGTTAAAAATACATCATATTATTAAATATTGTAATTCTCTCTTGTTTTTATAATAAACCTTAAAGATTCATAAATATCTCTAAAAGGTTTTGAAGTTATTGAAGTGTCCTTGAATAGTTCACGTCATTATGACATTTCAAGGTCTTCTTGACCCTGTAACATTATGATTTTCTTTAAAATTTATAATTTTTTTTTTCACTTTTCCAAGTATACGCTCATAATAATAATATTTGCTAGAAAATGAAACGAATTGATAATTTATTTCTTGAAAAATTTTATTCTGATGAATATATATGTTTTACATTTTCAGATGTATCAATGGATAAAGATCGCGCATGGTGTCCACGTGCTGGGTGTGAAACTATTTGTTCTGTAAATAATAGTGGCAGTGGTGGAATATCTCCAGGTCCTGTACACTGCCCTAATTGTTCTACAGATTTTTGTTCAATATGCAGAGAATCTTGGCACAATGGACCATGCCCAAATCTTCCACTTGGTATTCCATTTGACAATGATCACATTAAATGTTGTCCAATGTGTTCCGTCCCAATTGAAAAAGATGAGGGATGCGCACAGATGATGTGTAAAAGATGTAAACATGTTTTTTGTTGGTATTGCTTAGCATCACTGGACGTAAGTACATATTTATGATAATTCTTTATCTACATTAAACTATTGAAAAAGTCTTTTGCATATTATAATCTAGATACGTTGATATTCTATGTTGTATTTAAACGTAAACAATTGAATTTTAATAGATAATTATTAATTTCTTCGATTCATTATATTATTCAATAAAATAAAAAATATAGTTTAAATATTGCAAAGACTTTTAGAACAGTTTAGTAAGAATATATATGATGATCAATCATATGAAATAAATATGAAGTAATTAATGCATTGACTCAATAAGTATATAAATTGTAGGATGATTTTTTATTGAGACATTATGATAAAGGACCATGTAAAAATAAATTAGGACATTCACGAGCCTCTGTGATTTGGCATCGAACTCAAGTTATTGGTATATTTGCGGGATTCGGCCTTCTACTTCTTGTAGCGTCTCCGCTATTGTTATTAGCCGCTCCATGCATTGTTTGTTGTAAATGTCGTGTATGCGGCTCTTCTCGACTTGATCAAGACGGTGGTAATCATGAAGATGCCTCTACGTAAAAAACTTTTCATAGGATAGAATTATAAAAATAAATTTAATAATCGAGTTTTAAAAGTTGTGTATCATTATATTTGATACAAACTAATTATATCAATGCAATCAGAATTTTTATTTAGTCAAAAAATTGAGTGAGGAAAATATTATTTACAAATATTCTTATAGAAACTATATATACATGCATATATGTATATATTTTCATATTTATCTCAAGGTGAAGTTCGACTTGCCATAAGCCCGTATTATATTCTTTGGTGTTCTTCTTTGTTATAAATATATATTTTTTTTTTTAATTTTTTAATTTTTTATTTGGTATCATTGATTAAATGACTTTAATCTTTAAATTTTGTGTATAGAATTTCTTTCGAGAATGATTATTAAATCAGAGAGAAAAAATTTAATATTAATTTAATATATAAAGTAATCTATTCAATTTCACTGATTCAAAAAGTGCATTTCTTTAAACGTTATTTTAAACGAAAAAAAATGTTGTTCTTTAGTACAACAAAAAATAGCCATTTATTTTAGTCAATGTAATATTGATAGATTGTATTCGTCAATATTTTGCTGTTTTTTTCATCGAGTTTTATAGTTTAAAATAATTATTTCCTATGTATATATAGCACCTTTGAAGCTGACATTTGAAGATACGGGATTGGGGTACTTCAAAATAATAATAAATAAGATTTATTACTAATGCATTTTTTTTTTTTTTTGACATGTAAAAAGAGCATGTGATATATTAAGTGTTTATAAAGCACACTTTTAACGAGAAAAATCAATCAACTTACCATTAAGTACAATGATTAAAACGAAATAACGTATAAAAAGTGAAGTTACCACAGTGATCTTAATAGAAAAAAAAAAAAAAGAATAATAATAATAAATTGAATAATTATTGTAATTATTTATATGTAAAATATAAAAACAGCAAATTTAGTAAACGATAAACGATAAATTATATGATAAATGGACCAGATTTATTCAATCTAAAGTTTGCTGTTAAGAAACGTTCGTATATACAATTTACAAAATTAAGTTTATAGGGTAAAGGTATTGTTAATGTCTTGTTTTTATGCGCAAGCTCCATTTCGAGCAAATGCATTATACACATGACACACATGCAATAGAAAATTGAATTTGAAAATTCATTTATATTAACTACAATGATAATATTGTCTGGAAAAGAGACTCTTATGTCTTAGTTAAATAATAAAATATAATTATTGAAACTGTAAATTATATGACCTGTGAATACTTTTCAAGATATATTTACTTATACTTTATCCAAATACAATTGATTGTAATGCTTTTATTTTCATTTTAAATTAATTCCAACACATTGATATTCTTCATCATTCTATATCTATTATGCTAACGCTAAAAATTCACATTCTGCAAATTCTTTATATTATACTTTGTACATTATCTTCATAATATTTATCCTTAATTCCATAAATACATGCCAAAGAGGTTGTAAATTCTAATTTATTATTAAATACTATTAAATGAAAATTGAAACTAGTTTTATAAACTAAAAATTCTATCATTTTATGAAGATTAGACAGTGATCTTTAACAGTGATTATATATATTTAAAAGATAACAATAATTATATAAGAATAATAACAAATAAACTATTACTAGTATTAAAAATAGAAAAATAATAAGAATAATAATAATGGAGATATCTTTGATTACAATATAGCGAAGTTTATTATGATCTAATTAAAAATATTTTCACGGGGGTTACGAAAATTCAATGATTTGTATAATACAAACTTATCAAAAAAAAATCTCTACTGGTTTTCTATAGTATTCTCTATTATTGTTCTCAGCTTCGTTGCTTAATTAAAAAATTCTGAAAAATATGGATATAAAAAGTTTTTTTTTTTTTATAATCCCTTGAATATTGAGAGGCAAACTGAACAACGGAATAATAACACCCTTCCATTCCTGGTATACTTGCCAGTAATATCATACTCTCATTTAACTATATATTCTTAAACCATTATTATTATTATTATTATTATTATCGTGATTACTATTGTTATTATTATTGCGTATTTTCCATTATTATTTTATATATATATATATTTTTGTTTTAATTTTTGTTAATTTTTTTTTTTGCACTGCCAAGTTGTTGGAGCGTTAGTATTTTTTTGGGTAGAAAAGAAAAATACGTGTCTATGTGTATATGTGTGTGTTGACGGTGGTGTAATAGGGTGGCTGTTGCCTGAGGCATGCTCACCACCCCCGTGTTGGAGTCCAAATAGGTGCAGGTGTATAATAGAGAGAAGAGAAAAAATAGAGGAAGAAAAAGAGTTCGCGGGGAGGTTGGTTAGGAGGTCCGGCCGGTCGATATATCAGGGCTCGGGTGCAGCTGTCTGTCAGGCACGCGGACTCCACGCTAGACGACGTTGGGCCGGTGAGAAAAAACCACTCACTAGTGCTTCTGGGTAATTTTTCATCGTTGCAACGAACGACAGAAGCGCCATTACGGTAGGGGTGGCATTGCCACAAACCAAACCTCTACCTCTCGTCCCCTATATTCAACCCCCGTACTTTCGTCTTATCCGCGCCTATACGAAATCCCGTCCACTATATGCTCCCTCAGTGGCCGTGTCTGTGTAAGTTTTTACTTGCACAAATGTACGTACACCAGACGTCGAACAAGGCGTCCCGACGTTGCTGCGAACCCTGCAGGTCTCTTCCCTTGTCCCCGCTTACCGCTTCTGGGGTAAAAGTATGAAAAGAGTGGGGTGGATCGATTTTTACTGGGGCAACTGCCCCCCATGCACCCTCCTCCTGCATTCGTCTACCTCCTATTCCTCTTTCCTCTTTTCACTTCTTTCTCTTTGCTGCTTTTTACCTTCACACACCCTCTGTGCTCTTGATTCGCCTTCTCTCTTGTACCACCCGCCTCAGCAGTTATACAGCCTGGTACCCTGTCCCGTTTGTCCTAATGCACCATCTCAAAGTCTAACTCTTCACAAGGATACTCTCTAACATCCTTCAATCACTCGTCCTCATTCTTATAATCTCTACATATATGTCAATCATTATCATTCAATTAAAAACAATTTTTAATCCATGAATCATACAATATGAAATCTGTATTGAAAAATAATTCTGTTATGAAATGTTCTTTTTCTGAAAGACAATAGGCAAAAAGATGGAATGAAAGTGAGATGGGTTTTATAAGCAACCTGAGAGATGGGGTCAGGGGCATAGCAGAGGACAAGTTTGTTGTTATATCCAAAGAGTGAAGGAACTCTGTTGGAACAATGCAAGAAAGTGTGATAAAAGAAAGAAAATGCTTAGAGAAGAAAAAGGAATAAAAACGGGGTGCGGTTATGGAATTCAGGGGCGCTTCAACTTGTTTTTGCTTCTTTCGTCCAAGTAAGAATCGCATCGTACAGCGGCCAACTGGTCTGAATGGACCCAACGGTAGTCGCTTACCCCACTAGTGCCCTACTCTACTCTTCTTCCTCATCTTATTTTCTTTCCACCTTCACTCCTTTTTCTTTTGCCCTCCATAGCTCGTTCACTTGTTCTCCTCCAACACCTCCTCAACTTGTCTTGACACTTCCTTATGTCAGTGTTACAATTGTGTCTTATTTTTTCCACTTATTATCTTGTTCTTTTTTCTTTCTGCTGCATATTTTACTTTCTGTTGGATTATTTTGATCTTTACTAACCACTCTATCATAAAAACAATCATTTCATGTAAGATAATTCGGTTTTTTTTCTTTCTACAGATCAATTGAGTTATTGGAATATTATTAGATGATAAATGAAGCTATCATCATACATGTAATCTTCAAGTTAATACAAAGTATTCATCGATTATACAACACATATTATTTTCAAATAATCATTGTGACATACAATAGTAACAACAAAGGAACTTATAGCTTTTTCCAGCCACTCATCTGTATCTCAAATTATTCCACCTGGCCGAAAGTTTTCCAGTTTGACACACAATCATGTGTTGAAGCGAGAACTCATAATAATAACGATCCCCCAAGACCATTTATTAGGTTGTATCGTCTCTATATACATTATATAAACATATGGCTCATTGATTCTGCTTTTTTTTTTCGTTCTGTCTATTACAATATATTAATTATCTATTTATACTTTAATCTATCCTTTATGTAATTCATTTACACTCTATTGATTGATGATATTATTTCTTAAACTAGTATACTGTAATGTGTTATTTATATTTTCAACTGAATGATAAATTTCTCTATTAAGTAATTTTTCCATAGAGTATACTTCATTTAATTCGCCATAAAAGCTTGTCACCTTTTTTTTAATTATTTTGTAATGCTCTTTATTTAACATGAAATTTATGAAAAAAAATCATCAGGTTTCATAGATGCATTTTAAATTTATTTTTTGTTATTTTTAAAAATAAAAATATTGATGCTTAATTAATTATCACTTATTTTGATGTAATAAGAGTAATTATATGAAATGCAAATATTTGATAGATACAATTTGCCCGGATTGAAGAAACTTTGGAGAAGTTGAAGTACAGAAGAATTGATCTTGAAGAAGAAACTTGACGAGTCCAGTGGAATATATGTTATATGTGTTTGATATTCTGAAGTAAGTAAAGAAGATGCTACAAAAGTACATAAAATATATATATATAGTATATACAGTGATACATGTGTATATAGATATGTACAACTAGAGGAAAGGACTTGGCGTCATCGAAGTCTGCAGTTGCACTCAGCAAGAACAGATACACGTTGACTTTTCTCCGATCTCTTCTCTTGTACTCTCCTCTCTTGCTCTCGAGCGGGCGGTAAACAAAAACTCGGGTGCAGCGTTGTCGGATCTTCCCGCTCCTCATCGACTTCACCTCCCATTGGCTACTGGATTTTTCTTTCTATTTTCTTTTACCTCTTCCAACCTCAGTGACCTCCCTCTTTTTCTTTCTCTTTCTCTCTGTCGATTCGAAGGCCCACGAAACGACAAGCATCGAAACGACTCTGGGGCAAAACGAACGAATGCAGGGGAAAGAAGAGGGTGAAAGAGGTGCATAGGAATTCTCTTGTCCCCTCATGAGACTAGGCAACATCCCCTCCTCCCCCACTACTATCTTTCACCAAGCAACCAAGTTGCGTTTCATCCATGCACCTTCTATTCGTGACTCCCCTCGTTTGTCGTGTTTCCTCCATCACCCCTTTCGCCAACTCCCAACCAATTCACCATCATTTTTTCCCCTCTTTCATGCTCCTGCGAATGCTGTGAGAGTCAACAGCAAGTAAGAGAAAAACACGCGAGAATCATCTAAACTTTACTCCTCGTTTGCTTCTCGATGGTTGTGGTACTGCTGTTCAGTCCTCATCCTCTTTCTCTCTTTTTATGTCAACAATTATTCACTCATTTCCTTAGCCTACTAATGTTCCGTATAAATACCTTAATATGGATTTCATTGAACCACTCGACATTATTGATGTCTGATCTTATCGTCCGTTACTACTAATTCCGTTGACTTGTACTACTGTATCATTAGAAAAAAGGAAATAATTTTTTTATTTAGATAATTAAAGTCATACAATTTGCTGTACAGATGGATGAACAACCAGCGAATGGATCAAAAGAATCAAGATTGCTAGAGCCATCTCGCGATATTCGTGAGATTGACCATCGAGTGAGAAAATAAAAAAGCAGTATGGCTGAAGCTGCGAGCAG